GAAAGCAAAACGGTATGTGAAATAAGAATAGAAGGAGAGTTGATTGAGCAAGTGGATGAGTTTGTGTATTTGGGATGTGTATTTAGCAGGGATGATAGATATGATAGGGATATAGAACGACGAGTAAATGCAGGGAATAGAGTGAATGGGGCACTACACTCTATTATGAAGAACCAGAATTTGTCAAAACAGGCACGTATGGTAATTCATAATGCTGTGTTAGTCCCTACTTTAATGTATGGTAGTGAAAGCTGGGTGTGGCAGAAGAAGCACGAAAGTAGAATAAATGCTGTAGAAATGCGGTCTTTAAGGAATATGCTAGGGTGTAATCTGAATGACAGGGTGAGAAATTGCGTGATAAGAGATAAATGTGGTATACAAGATGATGTTGTGACCAGAATTAAGAAAGGAATGCTTCGGTGGTTTGGTCACGTAGAAAGAATGAATGAGGAAAGAGTGACAAAGCAAATTTATATGGCAGATGTGAATGGCCAAGTCGGGAAGGGACGCCCTAGGAAAAAGTTTATCGACCAAATTGGTGATATTTTGAAAATGGGCCACGTTAGAAGTACCCTTAACCGACGAGCATGTATGCGTAGATATATGGATGTAAAGGAGGCGAAAGAGGTATGTCAGGATCGTGCCAAATGGAAGTCCGTAGTCTCTGCCTACCCCTCTGGGTGACAGGCGTGAGTGTTTATATATATATATATATATATATATATATATATATATAGATACTAACAAAAAATAATAAATTCACCTTTCATAGTTGCCTACTAAAATCCTTTGGTAACTTAAAGAATGATATTGGTCATTAGCATCCATCCACGCAACAACTATAGTAGGAACGACGTTTTGCCATTGTAATTTATCAGGTAATGTACATAATATATATAATTTTTATATTACATTAAAACTTTTTTAACTATATCATCCTACAAATGAATATACTAACTACTAAACAAAAATTATTTCAACAAGTATTTCAAAAAACTATTTACGTATACAAAGTTAAAAACTATAACATTCAATCGCCTACAACGCGCTAGCCCACGTTTAATAGCCTACATAATTATTATTAATTTGACAAATCGTGCTCGCACGCTAAATAAAACTTTATCGCTGCGCGACAGTATCCGTATTACTTTGCATCTTTTCCCCTTGCTAAGTTACGGCGGACTTTCCGTTCTTACTAAGGGATGTCAATAAAGAGTAACAAAATACATTGCGAAATGTTAATTAAGTTACTTAGGTGAAATACCTATTCTGACTATGATCGACTGACCATATTTTCGCACCTATGTAAGTTCTGCGATGCCTAACGCATGCAACTTGCAAGGCCATTCGTCGGGAATCGCGACGCTTGGCTCGGAAGAAAAAGGTAGATAGTGTAAATAACAAATAAACTTGAAATACGATTCCTAACAGAAATGTACATAATATATATAATTTTTATATTACATTAAAACTTTTTCCACTATATCATCCTACAAATGAATATACTAACTACTAAACAAAAATTATTTCAACAAGTATTTCAAAAAACTATTTACGTATACAAAGTTAAAAACTATAACATGCAATCGCCTACAACGCGCTAGCCCACATAGCGTATTTCACCCTTGTGCGTCGCGATTGTAGGTAATTATTTCACGCAGGTAGCAAGAGTAACAACTATCTGAGAACCTTCATTGTTTTAAAGTTACATAAGTAATGTCTCCAGACCTTACCTCGTACCCGATTGTACTTCAGTCACAGTGGACAGTCTCAACTGAGACTGGCTAATACTACGCAAGGCATGATTATAGTGGACGGGTGTGTGCGCAGACATAGGTGCTCTCTCTACTCTCTCATTTTGACAGTCCGTTAGGACGGCAATCCGATACGGTCGTTTTTTTACTTGCTTGTGCTGTTGGCCTTTACGTGCTTTCTAAGGCACGGAGGAGGGGGGGCGGGTTGAAACACCGATAACTTTCTAACACCGGGCTTATACTGAGAATTTATTTGAGATTTTGTATTAAGCTATGTGAGGGTAATATGGTAACCTAAAGCTTTATATAAAGTAAAAACTACGAGGAGGACAAAAATAAAAACTTAAAGTCGTACACTGTAACTAATATATTAAGAAAAAAATAGCAAACTAGCTTGGCAATATTTAGAAACACTTCGAAAAATAGACCAAAATAAGACTAACTACACTACACAATACTTAAATCGACTAAAATATTTACTATAATGTCAACTTTTTTTATTTTATAGGATAGGATGACAAACGAGCACACAGTCTACCTGATGGTAAGTGGTTGCTGTGGCCCATAGACATCTACATCTATCCTCGATTACGAATCAAAATGCAGATGCGTTGTCATCCGTGAGGACTTAGGTGGAATGCGTCGTTTCCAGTAAAAAGGGTCTCCGGTTCTCTACACTCACCATACGAAACACAGCACCATTAAGCAACTATTTTACGCTGGTAATCTGTGAGAGCGTGGTCCTTCCCCGGTCGAGCCCACCCATTCATGCTACAACTATACTACTAATATAACTGCAACATGGCTCTACTAACTGTCAAACTGGCGTCGATAAACTAGCGCCCTTTTGACCCTTTTATATTTGATTGACTGATGAAAAGCTATCGTATCACAGAGTCATCTATGCAAACAAGGATGTGGTTTTTGAGTTATAAGAAAGTGACCATATTAACCGGATGACCATATTACCCTCACGTACTATACTTCAGATTTTGGTTCGTACTGAGATTCGAACCCAGATACTACATGATGAGTGGTCGCGCTTACAACATCTACACGAACGGGCGGTCAGACGATTCTCTGTAGTAGCGAATGATAGGGGTTCTTGAGAATAATGACGAAGGTTTAAGAAGTTGTAGTATCCGAAGGTTGTTGGTTGCGTGTCCAAATCACGTCGGTCAGTTACCACTGTGACCATGAAAGGAAAAGGGAAGATCTCCCGCCGGGCAAGTTGTTCAACCCGGGGAGCAGCCAACGCTCCGAGTTGTATGTACTGTTTTACTTCGGAACTTTGATAGCGCGATTAGGGTTTCGACGTGTTTCACTTGTGGCTCGACAACAGCGTCGCCACACATTTATTATTAGAGAGTACTCTTGACTACTACGAGTACTATACTATAAATCACTTAAGATCTGGTCTGACACACCAGGCTTAAAACATTCTAAAACCTTAATCCGGGCTTTTGATCGTAAATTCGCTTCAGAAGCCCTGGGATTAAGTAAAAATAAATTGCGCATTCTGGCAAGAGCCCTAACTGGACACTGTTGTCTTAAAAAGCACATGTCCATCCTGGGGCTAAGCAACTCAAGGATGTGTAGGTTCTGCTCCATAACGGAAGAAATGGCTCTACACATCCTAACTTATTGCGGACCCTTAATGCGCAAACGTAACACTCATCTGGGACACTATCTACTCCGCCCAGAAGAAGTGAAATTGCTCACGGCTAAGCAACTCCTTCGATTCATTGAAGAAATAGGGCTTAGCCGTGAACTATAGCCATAGCAGCGATCACAATAGATCTTTTAGGTCGCAGTGATACTGGTCTCTTTACCTAGACCTGCATAGCTGCTCGCATATAATTAAAAAAAATTACTATACTATACTATAGTACCACCCGCTTGCACATCCCAAATTTTTCAAATGTGCAAGCGGGTTTTTGAAAGGGAATGGGGTGTACAGATCAAGTCTTTTCCATGCGCATGATTGCGGAGAAGTTTTTGGCTAAAAACCAGAAAGTTTTTTGTGCGTTCATGGACTGAGAAAGCGCTTATGACAGAGTGGACAGGAATGTGTTATGGCAAACACTGAACTCATATGGGTGAGCGCTGGTTTGAACAGGTTGAGGTCTCTTTATAGGGATTCTAGTGCTTGTGTCAGGATCAATGGGGTCTACTCGGACTGGTTTGGCATCCGAAAAGGTGTCAGACAGGGCTGTGCGGCTTCCCCTTGGCTGTTCAACCTATTTATGGACAGGTGTTTGCAAACTTTGAAATATGAAGAATGTGGGTTAGGAATGGGCGAGTTAACCGTCAAATGCCTTTTGTATGCCGATGATCAAGTCATATTTGCTTCATCAGCGGCTGAATTGCAAATGATGGTTACATTAATGAACTGGGCATTAAAAGAAAGGGGGAATGAAAGTGAACGCAAGTAAGACGAAAGTGATGGTTTTTGAAAGAGAGGAAAGCAAAACGGTATGTGAAATAAGAATAGAAGGAGAGTTAATTGAGCAAGTGGATGAGTTTGTGTATTTGGGATGTGTATTTAGCAGGGATGGTAGATATGATAGGGATATAGAACGACGAGTAAATGCAGGGAATAGAGTGAATGGGGCACTACACTCTATTGTGAAGAACAAAAATGTATCAAAAAAGGCACGTATGGTAATTCATAATGCTGTGTTAGTCCCTACTTTAATGTACGGTAGTGAAAGCTGGGTGTGGCAGAAGAAGCACGAAAGTAGAATAAATGCTGTAGAAATGCGGTCTTTAAGGAGTATGCTAGGGTTGAATCTGAAGGACAGGGTGAGAAATTGCGTGATAAGAGATAAATGTGGTATGCAAGATGATGTTGTGACCAGGATTAAGAAAGAAATGCTTCGGTGGTTTGGTCATGTAGAAAGAATGAATGAGGAAAGAGTGACAAAGCAAATTTATATGGCAGATGTGAATGGCAGAGTCGGGAAGGGACGCCCTAGAAAAAATTTATCGACCAAATTGGCGATATTTTGAAAATGGGCCACGTTAAGAGTACCCTTAACCGACGAGCATGTATGCGTAGATATATGGATGTAAAGGAGGCGAAAGAGGTATGTCAGGATCGTGTCAAATGGAAGTCCGTAGTCTCTGCCTACCTCTCTGGGTGACAGGCGTGAGTGTTTATGTTATTTATGTTTACTATAGTACCATTCATTAGAAACTATGACGAGTGGGTTCTTTAAGTTATCAATACCATTAGGAACTTACACCATTACACTGGGCGCTACCATCGACACATCCTCCATATTCGCACTGGAACTGACCAGGCTGGCAAGTGAACTCGGCACAAGCAGCGATACTCTCGTCGTAACCATCAGCACAATCAACGATGCCATTGCAACGGCCGCCTTTCGGAATTAATTGACCGTTTTGGCATTTAAACTGTTCCCTGCAAATCAAAAATGATATCAAATGTTTTAAGGAAATGTAAAATAGTGTACGTGGGAAGGAAAATGCTGGGATAATGTCGACGCAAAGCGGAATATGAACTTCTTAAGTTTTTTTTTTAATTCTGACAGACCGCCTCAGGTAAGGGTGACTGACCATCGAACATAATCCATCTGGTAGTAAGTGTTTTTAAATGACTTCTCATATTTACGAGAACACTACACATTAAATGATACTAATTTTTACGGATTTTATCATGTTTAATATTTAACTTTTTAACTCCGGAGGTTTCGGGTGCTTTACAGCACCCATGCCCCCCCCGCCTGTGATAATGGGTGCTGTAAAGCACCCGAAACGTCGGAAATTAAAAATTGAAATGAAACGCGATAAAATCCGTAAAAGTTAGTTCTATTTAAAGTGTTCTTATTTAAAAAATACTAGCTATGCTAATATTTTCTTTAACTACACTTGGTAAGCTTAAAATTTCACGAATTTTGAGTTAAAGGTCCGTACCCTTCTACGGTTAAATACGCAGTTAAGGCCAGTTTGGACAAAATAGCGTGTTTTAGACACTATTTTGACACTCGAGAATTGATTACAAATAGAGTAACTTTTTGTCCACCAAATTTCCACGAGAATGGAATGCAAATAGCCGCTTAACGTAGAAAATCTTCGCCTTAAGGTTATCCTCATTCACCATACGAAAAACAGCAGCGTTAAGCTGCTATTTTACACTGATTCTCTGTGAGAGTATAGTCCTCGGTTGAGACGACCCATTCATGCTACGGCTTGAGCACATAGAAGTTCGTAGTTCTTTGAAGAAAGTTTTACTTTTTATTCAAAGCTTGATTATAATCTGAGTATACGAACAAAGATAAAGATTGTATTTATAAAATCTTACCCAACTATTAACGGTCCGCCATTACATCGGTGCAGCAGTTCATCGGAGCCATCCACGCAGTTTCTGTTATGGTCACACACTTCGAAAATGGAGATACATGCGCCATAGTTGCACCTAAACTGCATTTTATGACAACTGGAATACAGAGTGCAACGTTTAATAATAAAATAGTTGATAAAGATCTCAAATAAAGTAAAAAGGGTAGATATTGCACCTAGAACAAGAAACTGTAACCAATTTTATAACTTTGTGTGAGTGAGAGAAGTGTTGCCACTTTTTTTAAAAGTCCTTTAAAATTGAGATAAAATACTACAAATATAAGAGTACTATGCAATGCGAATGCGAAAGTAAATCTGTATGTTTTAATAAATTTAAACAATTTGACAATTCAAAAAGATATGATGAACATAGGAGGCGTCTGTAGATCATTTAAAAGTCTTCTTGATAGATCGTCCTGGTTTAGGATGAGTTTGATGCATGTGTGTGCGTGAACGCGTGTGTTTATTTAAAAGAGCGGAGTTTTTTGGCTTTAGCCAAAAAAACAACAAAGACTGCGCTTTTTTTACTTAATTTGAGACAAAGATGTTAAAAATTAATTTGTTAAGAACTTAGTAATAAAACAAAATGATGCGTTATCTAGCTTAAAAAGTTCGCGGAGTCTACCTAACCTGAAGATTATGGAGTGTAGAAGTAAGGATTACAGACGGTGTATTAAAGTGTCCATAAAAATCCTTAAATAAGGGTGGCGCCACACAGTTACGTTTGCGCACCGCCCCCGAGCGGTAGTGCATACAGTCCGCACTCCGTCCTTTCGTGCGGTAGTGCAACCTCTCGCCCGCGCGCCCTGCTCTCCCCGGCTTACACCGGCCGAGCAGACGCAGTTGGTGAGTCGCTTGTTTTTTGGCACCGTTCTTGCCCCCTCGCTCCGGCGGGGAGGTCTGAGCGATTGTCTTGTTTTACTTTGTTATTTTATTGTTATTGTTACTTGTTATTTTTATTGCTTATGTTTCTTGTTACTATTTTGTTAATATTGTATTTCTTGGAATAAGCGTCGCTTGCTCTTTTCAGAGCAAGCCCTTTGTTCTTCTCAGGACAAAGGGACCCCAGTTTCTTGGAATACATCGTGGACATCCCAGTCCACCCAACATGTCTACCATAGATATGAGCCAATTTATGAGCCAGATAGCGGCCGTGATCCGTCAATTTGGCCAAGATCAGGGAGTAGCCGTCAATATCGACGAAACCCTTCTCCTCGGGGCTTTTAGCCCCAAACATGTCCCCATTGCCCCTCAGGCATGTAACCCTCCCCCCGTCGTCGCGGCATTCTTAGCGGAGGATGACTTCGAAGCCATGAAAAACTCGGACACCGTGTCTGAAACTTCGTCCACCCGTAAGAGGTCCGTTCCTACGTCGATCTCCTCATCCAGTAGCTGCTCCTCGGACTCATCACAGTTCGATCAATCAGTTATTGATACGACTCTCACGGAAGTGAAATCCAAGCGCGGTTCGAAACGCGCTGCGACCTCTCGCGCACCTCCCGCCCCCGCAGCCCCCGCGCCTGCTCGCTCCACCGCAGCCCCCGTCGCTGCCACAAAGAAACAGGTCCCGCCCCCTGTCTTCCTCAGGGACAAGGCGCAATTTACTAGACTTTCTAAAGTCTGTTACGACGCAGGCTTTAAATATGACCAAGCCAACCTTGGCGAATCAATTAAAATCGTTCCGCAGTCTATGGAAGACTTTAGAAACATCACCAAACTTTTCACATCCGAAGGTGTGCCCTATCACACCTACTCTCTCCCTGAAGAACGTAAAGTCAGGGCTGTCCTCCGCGGAGTTCCCTTTGAACTCGCCAACGAGGAAATCCTGGAGGACCTTAAGTCCCAAGGATTCCCAGTTGAGGCTGTGCACAAGATGCACAGCAGTAGGGGCAAGAGGTACTCACTTGCCCTCCTCATTTTGTCCAACGTGCCGGAGGCGAAAGACATATTCCGATAGGTACACACTGTGTGCGGCCTGTCGAGAGTCAAAGTCGAAGCCCCCTATAGGCACGGTTTTCCGGCGCAGTGCCACCGTTATCAACTCTACGGGCATGCGGCGGCCAACTACTCAGCCACTCCCAGGTGCGTTAAGTGCCTAGACCCGCACAGCTCGAAAGAGTGTCCTCGGCCTCGTAATACCGAGTACCCACCCGCTTGCGTCCTTTGCGGACAGACTGGCCATACGGCCAACTTCAGAGGCTGCCCTAGCGCGCCTCGCCCCAATCACGGCAACAAAGCTGCCAAAAAAGCCCCGCCACCGGTCAATGACCGTACATTTCCGGCCCTCCCATCCAAAACGCCCCTACAGGGCAACTATCAGTCACCTCAGGACCTATATCGGCCTTCTCACCTTCGCCCACTAGGGCCCCGACATCAGGCGGAACCATCTTACGCCGATAACGTAGATACAGTATACACTGCTATCCGCAATATCGACGTAAGAGAGATCGTAGTTTTAGCACGCGAACTGCGCGCTTCTTAGTCCCCTCAGGACCGTCTCGTCCTGAGGGGACTAAGAAGCGCGCTTACCGAGCATCAACACCTTCTAAACTCAATATAGTTAGTCATCCCATTCGTAAGCTGCCTTAATTAGGCAGCAACTCTTCCCAGCCGCTACTCGCCGTCAGCGCCCCCTTTCACCCAAGGGGGGTCGCGTTCGATACGGATTAAAGATCTCTAGCTAGATTGTTAAACCAGTCCCTAAAAGGTGGGGTTTAGTGGGTAAAAGTCTCCACATAACCACGCAGCCGGCCGCCTGGTATGCTATGAGCATTCCCCACCTCCCTTCGGAGGGCTGCCCTTATTTGCTTCGGGCGCAAAAAAAAAGGTGGCGCCACTATAGCTACGGGCTAAATTTTAAAGAACGCACCTAAAAATATTAGTGAGATAGACGACTTTTTCGAGGTTGTATTTACTAAATAAAATTATTCTAGATTTTAGAGCTACTGATCAGTTTTGCAGCACACTAAAAACGTCGACAACTGCTAACTTAATTTCATCCTAGTAGCTACTCCAGCGCTGTTGTGGAGATTTTTTGAACTATTATTTAACTGCTTATAGATGACCACTTTTTCAACTATTCTACTATGGGAGTTGGTACCCCTTACTTCTTCACTACATACTGAAAATGCCTTGTTTGGAGGTGAAACACGTGTCGTATTATCGACGGTGATGTGTCTTCCTAGTGCAGTGATGTTGGGAGTCGTGGTGACGAAGTTAGTGCACGCAATTAAGGGAAGGCGGAAGATGCTTTTCAAACTAGGTAGGACACATCATTTTATTTTATTAAACGGATTTAAGCCAGTAAAATGTATTGGCTTAAAATCCCTATCTAAACCAATAAAGTTTATTAGCTTAGATAGGGATTTCTCTGTGTGATAAGTTTAATATAGTAATAATAACAATAATATATTTTTTAATTTACTCTCATAATTTAAATTAACAAGGTAGAGTATAAACAATGTACATTATGGGCTGAGAGTCTGGTGTCTATACTAGTCGGAAGCCTGTGTTACGGATTACCAGGGTCTCCCCTTCAGGATATTATCAACATAACAAGCTATTTGTATGATAAACAAATGAGAGACATGATATTGTATTATTAGTTACGTGTGTGTGTGTGTGTGTGTGTGTGTGTGTGTGTGTGTGTGTGTGTGTGAGTGGTGTGTATGTATGTATGATCCATCCTTACTTAGAAATGATGATATGCGCATTAAAAGCAGAGTAACCGACATAGCCTAACGGATTACTAAGCTGAGGTGGCAATAGGCCGGCCAAATAGCTAGAATAACCAATAACCGATGGGGAACAAAGGTTCTCGAGTGGCATCCTCGTACCGGTAGGTGAAGTATAGGGTGGCACTCCACTAGATGGAGTGACGGCCTGGTAAGACATGCAAGACATCAAAGGATGCAGATGTCTCAGGGCCGTGCTTTGTTGGATTTTTGGGGATGGCCTACGTACAGCAGTGGACTTGTGAAGTGGCTGTAATGATGGATGGTGATTACATTAGTTGAGAAGGAGATCTTACTTTCTCTCTCTGCACAGTGCAAAATCTTCGTCACTGCCGTCTGAGCAATCGTACACCCCATCACAATCGCTGTTGCCGCGCTGTACACACGTTCCGTCATTGCATTCGAATTCGTTTTTACTGAAAGAAATATAATATTGATATGAATCACTAATAATATAAGAGTTTAAAAAACTTAACACGCATCGATCATGAGCTGTGATGGTCCTGATAATTATTTTATTTATCCTGGAAAAAAGAGGCTAAAATAAGGAGGAAGGATAAAATAAATAAAGTAGTAGTAAAAAAAATAAGTACAAAGTATTGTCATCGGTCCTCGATACGAGTGCTTTTCAAGTCAATCGGCCGTCTACAAGTTGGTGAAAATTACGTTAAAAATTACCGTTCTCCCACGCACTGGCGGTTAACCGCGCGGTTAGCCGCTTTTCCAGTTTAATATGCTACCGCTTGTGATCGTACGCACTTTACCGCCACAAAATTTCAACAAAAAGAGATGAACAAAGAGCGCTTCGCAGCTGGCCGCTAATTTGTTTATTTTACGCACCGGCGGTTTAGTTTGCGGCAAGCCGTCGATGTGTTTGTACACGTTTCGAGTTTCAGTTGCGCAGCCAAAAACTTGGATACGGAGAAATTAATTGTTTTAATTCAACAACCTGAAGCTATTTGGAATTTCGAACTTAAAATCGGAAACAATGTAAAGGATAAAGCTAGTAATTTTTTACTTATTTTCTTTCGTTGTTTTCCGGAGTAAAAATAGATAACACTAGCTACCTCTACGGCGTTCATTTCGTTTATGGCCCAACAAGCCTGTTGACCGATAAAACCACTTATCGCGGTTGCGTCGCGGTTTCACCGCGGTTGGCGGCCATACCGGTCAGCCACTATTCCAACCGCGTCATGCGGCTGCCCGCTCATACGAACCGTCTAGGCGGCCAACCGCAAGTACGTTAGCCCCCTTATGTACCCCTTATGTACCCCTGAAGCTCATAAAAGCGTGTTAAAAATGGCGCGTTTTAGCTCCAACGCGCGACTGGAACTACTTACTTAGAGCGATTTTTCACCGCCGCCGTCACCGGCACCTCAACGAGAACGAGATGGCGGCGCCGAAGTAGTACTAGTAGTAGTAGTACATACATTTCTCTCGCCGTCACCACACGGCGATGGCCTCCAATAGATAGCCGTATAGCCACAGAAATCGTAATAATAAGACAATAGAAGTAATAGACAATACAAGTAGAAATGATGTGTTGACGAACATCATTCACCATTTTGTGATTTAGTTGCGCGGGGAACGTCGTACGTGAATTTATAATATTATGAATTTATAATGGAGAACTGCAGCATAATCAGTTGTAAAAACTCATCAAGGACGTGTAATTCAACTAATAAAGGCATAACATTTCATCGATAAGTTGATTATTTACTAATTATCATTATTTTTAACTAATTTACATCTAGATGAATACTTTACTATAATATTTACCTTTGTAAACTCATTTATTACTTTTCGTATTGTACAATTACCATTGCTGCTTTTGTTCTAACGTAATACGCGACACATGCGACGTTGACAAACTCGCCAAGCAATGTAATGTGAAACATTAGATATCATTGTGCATTGCGTATGTTTATAATACGGTAAGATGTGGCGACATCGGTTTTGGAAGTAATTGAGCGCTAATTCATTTCTATTACGATTTCTGTGCGTATATCCGTCATAGACGGCTCCGTGGCGCGGTGGCTTAGCAATAAGTGGCTGAGCTGAGGACCGCGGGTTCGAATCCGCACGGAACCAGTATTTGTATGGCCTACAAATAATTGTTCCGGGTCTGGATGTTTGCCTTTGTGCAATTTATGTTTGTAAACTGCTACATGAGAAAATACTGATACTGATACAGGAGAAAATACTAGTGTGGTGGTAATGTTTTAAAAAAAATATCGTTAACATCAAACATAAAAAATACCCAGGCCGGTGCGGCGAAGGAAAGCAACGTCAAAGGTTCGAAATGTATAGTACTGCCAGCCGAGCAATGAAGGAAAATCATTCTGCAATAGGAGAGGCATTTTACGTATTAATCGTGGACTAACGGCCTGATTAAAAAAGAAAGATGGCAGCTCTATCAAAGACCTGCTACTTACTATATGAGCACTCTAGCACAGAAGTCCTTAAGATCCAAATGTGTCAATTAGATTTTTTGATTTGAAATTACTTTTTACATACCTACACTCCTCGTCTCGCTTCTGTCGAATTAAAGACGTGTTCTGTTGCACAATACTCTCAGTTCTGGAAATGATAAAATGACTGTGTAATTGTATTTGTTATATTTTTATAATTTGACCATTATTAAAAGACATATATATATAATACCCACTCGCTCCGCTGGGCACACGATAATTTTTTGGTGCTTTGGTGCGGAACCTAGATCTAAAATATCAAGAATTTTTTTTAAAATATCAAGATTATCGTAATCAAAAGAGCCGAGGTAGCTCAGATGGTTAGCGCTCGCTGTAAAATTGACAGTGCGTGAGCAAACCGGGTTCGATCTCCACCGGCACCAATGAAATTGTTAATTGCAATTTTAAGTGCTGATTTACCACGTGCTCGGCGGTGAAGGAAAACATCGTGAGGAAAGCTGCATGTCGGAGAAATAAGAAAAAATATATTTCGAAGACATGTGTAGTTCGCCATCACGCATTGGGGCAGCGTGGCGGACAATTCCTTGCCCTAAAACTCTCTCAGAAATGAGCGGAGACCTGTGCCAAGTAGTGGGGCGTATATAGGCTGTAACTTTTTATCGTGAATTCCGTTCTTATTGAGCATCTACATTACAAAATGAGTAACTATACTAAATTTCTAGACAATCGGGTGTATAGTTTTAGAGACCTCGTCATACTATATTAGAAAATACTGGTGCTGACAGATATGATATTTTAAAGTCTAGAATGCATTATTTACGCTCCTCTATGCAAATATGAAAATATTTCAAATATAACCCAACCAAATTGTATTATTAATGTAGCTCACTCTCCTTTCGACTCGATAGGTAAAGGTTGGAAAAGGACAATATAATACCGAAGTAAAAAAGCAGTCTAGGTGCGAACCGAAAGCTCCACACGACTAACTTCCCTGATGAAAAAAAAATCATATATTTTAATATTTTATACAATTTTTCATTAGGTACAAAAAACGACTTGACCGAGTTTACTCAAAATTTAATGAGGTCTAAGTTACATAATTATGCGTTAAATGAAACTGGTCCCATGTCAATATCACTCTTTATTCTCGAGATACACGAGTCGAAAACTGAACATAACATGTGCACACGGACATCCTCATAAAAACCTTACTATTCGACTCAAAACACCTTGAAACGTGGAGATATGTTAAAATTCCCAATTTGCAAAATCGGACCCATTACAATCACTTCCCACTGGGAACTTCAGCGTAATGCTGTTGTGTTTTATATGATGAGGCACTGAATTTTAGCCCTAAGGACTGACAACGTAAAATAGATATGAGCCTTAGCAACCACTTACCATCAGGTGGAATGTGTGCTCGTTTGTCATTAATTGTCTATAATATAACTTTCTATTTATTTTTGTTGTGATGATATTGTGATTTGAAATAAATAGATTTTCTTTATTTGTCTCCTCTTATATTGTTAACCATCTATCACAGAGATTTTCTAACTTATTTCTTTTACCGCTCACTTTGAAAATCAATCAACTTTCAGCGCCTCCAATTTTTATACGCTCCTGAAACATATTTTAAAATATATAGTATCTAAATGAAATTACAAATTAACCAACCACCACATCAACACCCCCCCCTCCCCATTTTTTGAGCCCCTTAACGCACCGCTCTAGGTTTTCAACGACCACAGGAGGGTGTTATCGCCCACTTTGAGAACTATTGATCTATCTAGTCAAGTACTTTATCTATTACTCACTTATAAATAATTTAAGCATTACTCGCTTTTAATAATGATTTAATAATTGGATATTGGAATAGGTTTGAGATTAATAAACTTCGATGGCGTTTAACCAATCACCATGAAGATGGAACATATTTTATAGGTTTATATGCTATCCAATTTTTGTACTTACTTACTAGATGGCGCTGAAGCACGTCAACTTATATACGGTTTCACCGATCCAAGAAAATTGGTACTGGACGTCAATGGCACAGAACACTAATACCTGGTGAGTCGGGTTTTACTATCACGAGTACGAACTGCAAAGCAAGGGCATGACGCGTACGTTCGTATGAAAACTACAAAAAAAGTGATTTACCTGCCATATCCATGACGATAAAAGGCCGAGGATTCAACAACGGTTAACAATGACCCTGAAAAAGTACAAAATGATGGCCCTGATTAACAGTTACAGTTTCAAACATTAACATCATCTGGTATAAGTCCGTTGCTGGATATTATGTGCTTCTGAAGTTGTAACAAGGATTTGACTTAATTGTCACACTGTGCAGGTGGATGAGGGATCACAGTAGGCACTAGACGTGAACACCTTCTATGCTGTTGCCCGTCGCTGATCTGGGTATTTAACACAGAAATCGTAATAATAAGACAATAGAAGTTGCATATGCATATGTTGAAAAACATCATTCACCATTTTGTGATTTAGTTGCATGGGGAACGTCGTGAACTGCAGCATAATCAGTTGTACAAATTCATCAAGGACGTATAATTCAACTAATAAAGGCATAACACTTCATCGGTAAGTTGATTATTTACCATCTAGACGAATACTTTACTATGTGATATTTAACCTTTGTAAACTTTCATTTATTACTTTTCGTACTGTACAAGTACCATTGCTGCTTTTGTTCTAATGTAATGTGAAACATTAGATATCATTGTGCATTGCGTATGTATATAATACGGTAAGATGTGGTGACATCGGTTTTGGAAGTAATCGAGCGCTAATTTGTTTCTATTGCCTTATTATTACTATTTCTGTGGTATTTAACATCTCGCATAAACAATATGATACACCGCCATCTATCGGTTGTAATCAGATGTTTATAACAGTAATTTAAAAAAAATTGAAGAAGTTAACAAATGTCTAGTTCGTTTGTTCGATCGAAGTTAAAACACCGATGTTTTAATTTTTAACATCGATGATCATCGAACATCCCTAACAATAATGTGTTCCGAATTATGGAGTGTAGAAGCAAGGATTACAAACTCCCATACTAGAATAGTTGAAAAAGTGGCCATCTGTCAGCAGTAAATAACAGCTCAAAAACTCTCCACAACAGCTCTGGAGTAGCTACTGGGATGAAATGTGCTTAGCAGTTGTCGAAAATTGCTCAATAGCTCTAAAACCCCAAAAAAATTTATTTTTTAAATATAACCTCGAAAAAGTCGTCTATCCCACTAATATTTTTCGGTGCGTTCGTTAAAGTATACCCCGTAGTTTTCTATGGACAATTTTTAATAAACTGTACTCCATGTTCCGGGTGCTGATGGGGTTGCTCTATTGTAGCGCATATGCTTGCGTATGGTTAAATACATAGCTTTTATGTATTAAGGTTGAAAGAGAATAGCATCCTAGGATTTCATGCATCTAGATGCAGCGAGTATAAGCTACACTTTCACAACTTGCTAGACGCGTTCTAATTGACTTTTCATAGAGCATTAGACAAACAATCATATTAATTTACCACCGGCGATTTTTCCGCATCAATACGAATTAGGAACCTTCAAGAAAAGATCTTACTACTTTTAAAAGGCCGGCAACTCATCTGCAATTTCTCTGGTATTGCAGTTGTTCAAGAGCTTTAGTAGTCAATTAATATAAGGTGAGCCGCATACTAGTTTACTCCTCTTCTATTTAAAAAAAAAAACATTCACTATCATCATCATCATTACAGTCAATCACAAGACCACTGTTAAACATGGGCCTCATCCAAGTGATGCCACAAAGCATGTTGACCACCTGAATTCAAATTCCTACATATCTCACTATGTCGTCACTTAATCTAATGCCCGACCGTTCGATAACATTTCTTCCCAATCAGCATGCACATTATTTAATAATTTTCAATTTATATTAGGTACTTACTTTTATTTGTAAGTTATTCATTGGGGGGTATTTGCCATAGTTGCCACGCTTGGCGAGCGGGTTGGCAACCGCAGTTTTTTATTACGTCACAGTTGTCATCAGGAAGACGCTGCTGCCCATCTCCTGCCTGTCTCCCTCTGTCGCCTCTTACGACACCCACGGGAAGATATGGGGTAGTGGATATTCTTAACCGCCACTACACGGCTAAGGCTCAGGACCGTGCTTTGTGGCATTACTTGGGGGAGGCCTATGTTCAGCAGTGGACTTGTGAAGGGCTGTAATGATGATGATGATGATGATTTGTAAGTTGTCAATTACCAAATAATATTATTGGATACTTTGATTATATTTGACTTTGTTTAGTTTTGCTTAAATTAATTTTGTTTTTGCAATAATTTCGATTTTAAATATTTGAAAAAAAGTATTATTATTATTTGCTTTAGTCGCCTCGTACGATTCTCACTGGACGAAATCGGGTGACGGGTTCTGTCACCATTACGCTAAACAGCTATTTTTAATGTTCATTTTATATTTCAGTTAATTTTTTTGACCTTTTGATATATTTTTACTGTTTATACTTTTTTATCTATACAAATGCTATCATATAGCTAGAAAATATATTGTTAATATACTTATTTAATTGTCTACGTAGTAGAACTACGTTGCAGCTATATAATCGCCTCGACCTGGGAAAGACTCTCTAATAGAATACAGACTTAAAATTGCAGCTTGATTCTGTCATGTTTCGTATTGCGACTGTAGAGAAACGGAGAACCTTTTTACTGAAAATTAGTCATTCCATCTTATTTCTCAGGCGTGACAATGCATCTGCATTTTAATTCTTAATCGATAGTCTTAGATATCTGTGGGCGTGACTTACCATCAAATAAACTGTGTCCGTCTTAATCCAAATTTTTAAAAAAATCACGAGATTTATAGAAGTTATTATTATGTAAAAATATTACTTAAAATGTCTGCGTTGATATTGTTCAGAGTTTCTATCGGTCGTTTATGTAGTTTGGGCATACATAAAACTTATGTAATACACAATTTCACGATTTAAAGATTGACAAAGAATACTGACTTCATTCAATACGATCTTGTCACACTCTGTCACTTCTCACACGTCTATCTACACATGCCTGCTCGTCGTTTGAGAGTACTCTTCAAAAGGATAAATTTTCTTCGTCACTCTTTCTGCAGTCATTATTTCTATATGTATAAACCACTGAATCATTACAACTTCTTGTAAAGCACACATTTCTCATATCACACAATTTCTCACCCTATCATTCAAAGTCATCACTTGCATACCTACTTCTTGATAATCGCATCGTTCTACAGCACTATCTCATGTTTTTCTGCTACACCTAACTTTCACTACTATACATTAAACAACATAGTATTGTAAATTACATACTTGCTTTTTTTGACACATTCTGAACTCCTAAAAGTTACATTCACTCTTCGTTCTAAATATTATCATGAGATATATAATTAAAAAAAAATTTATACTGCAACTTACCTAAGAACACTAAACAAAAGTATTTTGCCAACATATTCAATCTGCCATTACCACTTCAGTAACTAATTTAATCACACATTTATTATAGAAATACGAAAAAGAGAGATTGATCTAATTTTCTAAATAAACTGATTCTGTGGAATTTACAAGGAAGACATATTTTGTCGAACTTTAACCTTGCGATGACGTAATCTTGATATTGGAAATATACACGCTACATCATATTACATAGCACGCAAGTTTGTGAAAACTAAAAACCCGATCCCACAAGTTTTGTTCATCGTATATAACGTATGATTTAATTTAATTTAAAAGTATAATTTTAAATTTAATTAGAAATATTATTATTTAACCGACTGCGGAGCAGGAGGACAATATTCTTACGTGATTTATAAGTATACACAGTATATGCATACATATAAAAGTCCGTTCCTAGCCCGAAATTCCTAATTTAGTCATCGGATTCCGAAAAATGCAAAGAATTTGTTTTCAATCAATTTATCTTAATTGCACTTGATAACGTCGGCAGCGTCAGCACTAAATAAATATGGCGGCCATGAATGAATAATAGATAGATAATACCGGTATTTGTCAGCATTAGCTAATTTAAATACATTCCTCAAATAATAATAGGTCCTTACATATGAAATTGGCGTTTTGTACGGGAGGAATATAAAGTCATTTTTTTTTTTGTAAAATATATTTAATTAATGAAAGTATGCACCGTTGGTACCTATGCACTTTTGCCATATCATAGGTAGTTCATTGATCCCTTTACTAAAAAAATCATGGGGGGCGAGAATCAATAAACTCTTTGAAGGCGGTTTGGACTGCCGCATCGGAGTTGAATTTATTTCCTTGTAAGAAGTAGTCCAAATTCCGGAAAAAACGGTAATCTGTTGGAGCAAGGTCCGAAGAGTATGGTGGATATCGCAGACATACCAATTGTAGCTCACCTAACTTAGTGGTTATTTGTTGTGCAGTATGTGGTCTTGCGTTTTCGTGAAGCAGCAGTGACCTTGAGCGATTGACCAAGCTCGGTATTTTAGCAGCTAGTTCTTCCGCAATCGTTTGGCCAGAATTTTAGAAAGCTGTATTGAACGACACCGGCGCTAGTCTACCAAACACTCACAAGTAACATTTTCTGAGTCAATTTTTGTTCGGCAGGATTTGGCTGGGTCTCCAGGGTTCAACCATTGCAACGAGCGCTTCCGATTGTAGTACAGTGTCCATTTTTCATCACAAGTAATGATTAGATTTGAAATCCCTTCATTTTTGTGTCGGTTGAGCAAAGTAACACAACAGTTGATGCGTGTTTGCAAGTTCGATATAGTACCTCAATACATGAGGTACCCATTGTTCAAGATTTTTTACTTTCCCGATTTGCTTCAAGTGGATTAATACAGTTTTATCACTTACCGCGAAGCCTGCGGCTGTCTCTGAAGCGCTTTGTGATGGATTCGCATCCACAATACCCTTTAATTCTTCATTTTCCACTTTGGTTTCCAGTCGTCCACGAGGTTGGTTCTGAAAGTCGAAATTTCCAGAACGAAAACGTTGAAACCAAAAACGTACGGTTCTTTCTTTTGCGATACCAGGGCCGTACACATCATTAATCCTTCGAGCTGTTTCTGCAGCACTGGTGCCACGGAACAAGAACGCGTACTCGTAAATATACCTATATTTCATGTTTTCCATTGTGCGGTAATAAACAAAAGTATTTATAAGCGACGCCAAAATTAAAAATAATGAGGAAAAAACAAATGAATGACTGTTTTCAAAACTCTAATGTACCAGCTAAATGAATTTATAAATTTGAATTTTGAATTCTCAACCAAAGAGGAGATATTTCAGATCAAAATGGTCAGTACGACAAAACGCTAATTTCATATGTAAGGACCTATTATTATAATATTTTAACTTATATATGAATATCAATATCAAATATTGTCGTGTAGTGGCGGTTAAGAATATCTTCCCGTGGGTGTTGTAAAAGGCGACAGATAGAAACAGATAGGAGATGGGCAGCAGCATCTTCCTGATAACAGCAATTGTACAACAAAAAAACTGTGGTTGCCAACCCGCTCGTCAAGCTTGGCAACTATGGCGATATACCCCCAACGAGAAATAAACGGCCCCAAGTCTCCGGCAGCCCCGGTATTCCTGGCTACGGTGGTAACGGGGCAGGGGCGCCTCCGGTGGAGGTTCAGTTGCCACCTGAGACGACTCGAGCTGGCAACATACAACGCACGCACCCTGGGGACTGACGAGAAGATTCTCGATCTGGAAGAAGAGATAGACAAGCTGCTATGGAATATTATAAGGTTTTCAGAGGTCCGAAGATAGGGGGAGGACACGATGATTCTCGAATCCAGCAAATTGTTCTATCACCGGGAGAGCGACAATCTATACCAAGGAGAGTCGTCGGATTTATCGTTCACAAGTCTCCCGTTAAAATTGTAAAGATTGACAGTGTGTCGAGGAGGGTTGCGTATCTTATACTCATAATCACCAAATGGTATTCGCTGAAGATCATACAGGTTTATGTACCAACCTCAGCAAATCCCGATGAGGAGGTGGAGGAAATGTATGAGATTCTAGAGCCATGCATTCGTCTAAAACCTACGATACGGTGTTAATGGGAGACTTCAACGCGAAACTAGGCACAAGAAAGAACGGTAGGGAAATTCGGGATAGGGCAATGGAACCCAAGGGGCCATATGCTGGCCGACTACATGGAGAAAGAGGAACTCTTTATGGTAAACCCTGCTTCCTGAACCTGCCCACAGAAAGTTGACCTGGTCGAGCCCCGATGGTTCAACAAAAATGAGACTGACTTCATTATGACGACTAGACGACAACTGTCAGTGATGTCTCATTGATCGCAAGGATGAAAACTAGCAGCGATCACTGAATGGTTAGAGGTACACCGAACCTAAACATTAAGATGGAGAGGTCTCGTCTAATAAAGTCAACGCTCCGTCCCCCTCGTGCTCTAATCCAAAGTCCCGAAACCTTTCAGCTCGAGTTACACAACCGATTTCAGTACCTAAAAGACTGCAATGCAGGGAACGATATGAATGATAAGCTCGTGGAAACTTTTCATGCGGTCGAAGCTAAGTTTTGCAAGACTCGCCGCAGGCAGAACACAAAAACTCTCCGACTACACTCTTAATCTCATGGCTGTCAGAGAGAAGAACTGTCAAAGCTGAAGTCTGAGTGTGGCAGCATCGTTTTCGTTGAGATTTTGAGTGAGATTGAGAGGTTCTAAGGGCAGCTGTACAGATCATATTGAAGCCACACGCAAGTGTGAGTAATGATCCAAGAGCAAGTCTTCATCATCATCATCATTACAGCCCTTCACAAGTCCACTGCTGAACATAGGCCTCCCCCAAGTAATGCCACAAAGCACTGTCCTGAGCCACCTGCATCCATCGACTTCCTGCATATCTTACCAGGTCGTCACTCCATCAAGTGGAGGGTCGCCCTACACTACGCCTACCGGTACGAGGCTGCCACTCGAGAACCTTTCTTCCCCATCGGTTTTCGGTTCTTCGAGCTATATGGCCGGCCCATTGCCACTTCAGCTTACTAATCCGTTGGGCTATGTCGTTCACTCTGGTTTTACTGCGGATATCCTCATTTCTGAGTCTATCACGCAGAGAAACTCCGAGCATACCCCTCTCCATAGCTCGCTGAGCGACCTTGTGCGTCCTCATACGGCCAGCAGTGAAGGACCACGTCGCAGATCCGTAAGTCATCACTGGCAACACGCACTGGTTGTACAATCTAGTTTTTAGAGATTAAGGTATACCTGACGAGAAGATATGCCGTAATTTCCCGAACGCTGCTCAGCCGAGTTGAATCCGTCGATTGACCTCTCGGTCGAAGTTGGACTTACCTAGTCGGACTATTTGTCCCAGGTAAACGTACTCGTCAACAACTTCGAGCATAGTGCTCCCAACAACTACCGGCATAGGTGTGACATGGACATTAAACATAATCTTTGTTTTGTCCATGTTCATCTCAACACCTATCCGTTGGGAGGCACTATTGAGGTCATTGAGCATAGTGCTTAAGTCCTCCAGCGATTCTGCCATAAGGACTATATCGTCGGAAAATCGAAGGTGAGTGATGTATTCGCCATTGATGTTAATACCGTATCCTTTCCAGTCCAGTAGCTCGAAAACGTCTTCCAATGCAGCGGTGAAGAGTTCCGGGGATATAACATCACCCTGTCTTACACCTCTCTGCAGTTGGACAGGTTTCGAGCTCTGGTTCTGTATTCGGATAGCCATCGTAGCCCTACTGTACAAACACTTCAGCACTTCGATATACCGACAGTCAACTTGACACCGCTGAAGGGACTGTAGCACCGCCCAAATTTCGACGCTTGCTCTTGGATCGTTACTCACAATTGCGTGTGGCTCCAACGATGATGTGTACAGCTGCCCATAGAACCTCTCAATCTCACTCAAAATCTCAGGTGTCCCGGAAACGATGCTGCCACACTCAGTCTTCAGCTTTGACAGTTGGCTCTAACTGGCAGACAGATCTCTGGCAAAGACTTTGGAGCCCTGGTTCCACTCGATCGCTTCTTTAATACGAGCAGGTATTAAAGTTGCGTTAAGTCTCGCCGCATGCATTTGGAGATCTGTCTGTTCAGTTGCCTGTATGCTGTCAAATCTGTTGACGATTGCAGCCTCATCTCCCGTCTAACAGCCATGAGATTAAGAGTGTGATCGGAGAGTTTTTGTGTTCTTCTGCGGCGGGTCTTGCAGAACTTAGCTCCGACCGCATGGACAGTTTCCACGAGCTTGTCATTCATATCGTCCACTGCATTGCAATCTTGTAGGCACTGAAAGCGGTTTACGTAACTCGAGCTGAAAGTTTTCGGGATTCTGGATTAGAGCACGAGGGGGACGGAGCGTTGACTTCATTAGACGAGACCTCTCCAACTTAACGTTTAGGTTCAGTGTGCCTCTAATCATTCGGTGATCGCCGCCAGTTTTCACCCTTGCGATCACCGAGACATCACTGAACAGTTGGCGTCTAATCGTCATAATGAAGTCAATCTCATTTTTTATCGAACCGTCGGGGCTCGACCAGGTCCACTTCCTGTGGGGCTGCTTCCGGAAGAAAGAGTTCATCATAAAGAGTCCCTCTTTCTCCATAAAGTCGGCCAGCTGCTGGCCCCTTCGGTTCTGTTGCCCTACTCCAAATTTCCCTAACTTCAGCTCACCGTTTTCTCTTGTGCCTAGTTTTGCGTTGAAGTCTCCCATCAACACCGTGTAGTGGGTTTTGGAGGAATGCATGGCTTTGGAAATATCCTCATACATTTCCTCCACCTCCTCATCGGGATGTGCCGAGGTTGGTGCGTAAACCTGTATGACCTTCAGCGAATACCGTTTGGTGATTCTGAGTATCAGGTACGCGACCCTCGTCGACATACTCCCAATCTTTACAACGTTGTTGACGAGAGACTTGTGGACGATAAATCCGACACCTTCTTGGGACAGATGGTCGCCCTCCCGGTGATAGAACAAGTTGCCGGATTCGAGACTCCCCTCTCTTCGGACCTCGGATAATCCTATAATATTCCAGCGCAACTTGTCTATCTCTTCTTCCAGCTCCAGGATCTTCTCGTCAGCCCTCAGGGTGCGTGCGTTAAATGTTGCCAGGTCGAGTTGTCGTAGGTGGCAACCGAACCTCCACAGGAGATTCTTAGCACCCCCTGCCCCGCCGTTACCATGGTCGCCACCGTAGCCAGGAATAGCGGGGCCGCCGGGGACTGGGGGCCGTCTATTTGTGTAATTGTTCATGGGGGGGTATATTGCCATAGTTGCCACGCTTGGCGAGCGGGTTGGCAACCGCAGTTTTTTTGTCGTTCAGTTACTGTTATCAGGAAGATGCTGCTGCCCATCTCCTGCCTGGTTCCCTCTGTCGCCTTTTACGACACCCACGGGAAGATATGGGGTCGTGGATATTCTTAAAGAAAGAGCAAGTCTTATCCGACACTATTTCGATGGTATCTCAGACGTCAGTCTGAGCGAGATTAGAATGCCTCTCCAGCACCTTAAAAACGGCAAGGCCCAGGCGAAGAAGAAGCCCTTCAACTCCTTCCGTCATGGTGGCTCTACTCCGGAGGCGTAGGGCTGAAGTACGGTAGTCTTATTCTTCAAAAAAGGGGACAACGCTCTTTTGGAGAACTACAGACCGATTTCCTTTCTGAACCGCATCTACGTGCTGTTTTCAAGAATTATTACGAATCGTCTCGAACGCAGATTCAACGACTTCCAGCCTTCCGAACAAGCTGGTTTCCGAAAAGCCTTTAGTGACATAAACCACATACAAGAAAGAAGACCGAGGAGTACAATCTGCCACTTTGCCTTGCGTATGTAAACTTTGGAAAAACCTTTAATTCCACAGAAATTTAGGCGGTGCTACAGTCCCTTCAGCGGTGCCAGGTTGACTGTCGGTATATCAAAGTGCTGAAGTGTATAGGGCTATAGCTATCCGAGTACTGAACCAGAGTACGAAACCTATCCAACTACAGAGAGTTGTAAGACATGGTGACGTTATATTCCCGAAACTCTTCTCCGGTGCATTGCAAGATCTTTTCAAGCTACTGAACTGAAAAAGATACGGTATCAACATCAATTGCGAGTACATTACTCCCCTTCGTCACGATTATCCTTACTAGGACTATCCTTATCGCAGAATCGCTGGAGGACCTAAGCACTATTCTCAATGACCTCAATCTCCCAACGGATAGGTCTAAAAATGAACATGGAAAAAACAAAGATCATGTGTAATGTCCATGTCATACTCTTTGATTATTTATAATCAAAGGTCGCACCTATGCCGTTTACCTGGGACAAGTAGTCCGACTAGGTAAGTCCAATTTCGACCGAGAGGTCAATTGACGGATTTAATTCTGTTGGGCAGCTTTCAGGGGATTGCGAAACACCTTCTCGTTAAGCATAACTCAAAAGTGATCAGTGATGACCTATTGATCTGAAATGTGGTCCTTCACTGCTGGCTGAGGACGCTCAAAGTCACTCAGTGCGGAAGCGAGATTTTAAAAGGCTAAAAGTGATTTTAAAATGCCACACATTTGATGGAATACATACCAGGAGACCTAGTTCTAGAAAAAATTAAGAGTATGTTGATGGAATGGGGCATCATAAAAGAGAAAATTCATTGTTTTGTTCGCGACTCTGGATCTAATATGAAACGAGCAATGAAACTCGGCGACATACCTGATGTCGGTTGCACTGTACATCAGTTGCAACTGTGTGTGCGAACATTGTTAGATTGTGATGAAGAAATTTATGCCTTATTACCGAAATGCAAAAAAAGATTCGACGCATTGTAATCATTCCCAAATAGCTCAGACTGAACTGCATAAAATACAAAAGGAACAACTCAACCAAGAATGTTTGAGTGTAATACAGGAGTGTAGTACTCGGTAAGTTGTATTAATTTGTGCATTTATTTTTACCTCCAGATTATTTCATTTCAATCAAAAATCCACGCTAATACAATAAAATTCAATAAATTCAAATAAAAACATTAAATCGATTTTATTAAAACTTGCGGGTATAGCTGATTTTGAGTGTATAGTTTTTGTCATTCATTTAATTTAAATTTAAATAAGGGGTGGGCCATAAAGACGTACGATTTTTGAATAACTATTACGTTGGAGTGGTTTGCGACAGCAGGGCGCAGGGGGTAGGAATAAGTAGCTCGGTTCGCGGAAATTTAAATGCTATGGTGCGCTTCACTGGTGCACAGCGTGGGTTCTGCGTAAAAAATTATTACAAAAATAACGATTCGAGCAGTGTTGTTGGACGTTTATACCCTACTGAGTACGGATTACCCGCGCTAAATCAGTGTCCCAGTGAAAGTGTGATTAGGTCTTGGGTCAGAAAGTTCGAGTCTATTGGGTTAACTCTCAATCAGACACGTTCAGGACGCCCAGGGCCAACAAGAACAGAAGAACCAATTAACGAAGTTAAAGCTTCCGCGCAACGTAATCCTGGTCTATCAACTCGCAAGTGTTCAGCTGATCTTGCTGTATCCAGAACAACTTTGCGACGCATTTTAACGAAAGATCTTAAGTTTCACCCATATAAGATTCAATTAATGCAGGATTTGAAGCCAAATGACCCCAATTTACGCCGTGTTTTTTGTGAAACAATGTTGAAGCGTTTTAGGAGTTTAAACAATATTCTTTTTTCCGATGAAGCCCATTTTCACTTAAATGGTAACGTCAATAAACAGAATTGCCGTTACTGGGCTGCAGTAAATCCACGGTTCAAACATTAAAAGCCTCTGCATACGCCAAAAGTTACGGTGTGGGCAGCCATTTCTGCACGTGGGATCAAAGATCCGTATTTCTTTGAAAATCAGCGGGGGCACTCTCTGACAGTAAATTGGGACCAATATACAGCCATGTTACGAAATTTTGCTTTCCACAACTGCAATAACTCGAAGGCTATAATCGTACGATATGGTTTCAACAAGATGGCGAGACATGCCATACATCTGATGCCTCGATAGCAGTCGTAAACGAAAGGTTTAGAGGAAAACTCACATCGCGCCGAAATGATTTTGCGTGGCCGCCCAGAAGCCCGGATTTGACACCACTAGACTTTTTTTTGTGGCGATACATGAAGAGTACAGTTTACCATAATAATCCAAACACGATTGCTCTGTTGAAGACCAATATCGAAGAAGAAATGGCGGCTATTCCAAGAGCATTGTGCCAGCGAGTTTTTGATAATCTCAGGTCCGGATTGGTGGAGTGTTTGCAGCGTAATGGTGCACATATTGAGGATGTCATTTTCAAAAAATGGCTTTCCCATGTACATATTTTTATTACAGTTAAGATTTATTTGTATAATATTTGTCCTGTTTTTTTAATGATTTTTTCAAATCCATCAAACTTTCTGGCCCACCCCACTGAAGGCAGTAAACAAATGAAAATTTTAAAAGTATAATAAAATTTACCGTCGATCAATTAAATTCCAAATTTGATGAACTTCAATCAAACAATTTCATTGGAATAGCAATATATCTAGATCCTCGCTATAAAACAATTTTTTTTAATGAAGTGGTTAAAGAGAAGATTGAAACAGAAATAATGTCACTATTTGATGCAGATACATCTAAAAACGATGCTGATAATATTGCCGTTCCTGTAGAAAAACGGGCAAGAGTGGAATTACCAGCAGAAGCTAGCCATAGTAATGTCCAAACAGTTTTGTCGAATATATTGTTAAGTAGTGATGAAGACGATGATAATACCACATCTGAAAAATGTGCAGTTTTTGACAAATTTGTTGTAATGAAAAGTATACTAAATGAGTTCAATAAAGAAAAACGTATAAGTATTAGCGATGATCCGTTATTGTGGTGGAAAGTAAATAGAAATACAAAATCAGCCCCTTCAATCAATTGCCCGCCAATATTTGTCGTGTCGAACAGGCTCGGTAGCGAGCGAACAACTTTTTAGTGGCGCTGGCCTAATCTACGACTCGTTAAGAAATAGATTGGACGGAGACAAAGCTTCAAAGCTTTTGTTCGTAAAGTATAATACACTACTTTTGGAGTAAATTCATTTGATTTAATTTGTTTTAAAGCTTTTGTTCATTTAATATAATGTAATATGCTTCTTTGGGTTTAAATTCATGTTTATTTGGAAACATGCCAATTTTTTTCATTGTTTGTGTTTTATTTTATAATTGAAAATTGAAACGAAAAAAATTTGACTAAATAATATTTTATTTGTCCTTAAAGAAAAATTCTCTCTCATGCCACCACTTCTGACCCTGCCTCCGACTCCGATTCCGACTCCGATCAAGCATATTTAAAAACTCCGACTCCGCCTTCGGTTCCGATATAACTACCTCCGTTACATCCCTGCTACCACGGCACTGCAGCACGGCTCTACCACGTATAATAATTTAATAATTTTCATTTCATATTACGTTTATTTGTGAGTTACTTAATTCTATATTTAGGTACCTACTTTATTATATTTTAGTTTGTTTAGTTTTGTTCATATTAATTTTACTTATTTATTATAAATTATTAGTATTTACGATGCCCACGGGACGGGAAATGTGGTGACGGGCTCTGTCACTATTACCCCATTGAGCTAATTTTAATGCCCGGTTTACATTATTCCAGTCTAGCGATCGAATCCAGCGCTGGATTGCTTACAATGGAATGCAAAGAATCCAGTTAGCATTTCAGCCTAGTAACTGGATTGGCGGTCTACTTTTGAATCCAGTGCGACCAATCCATTGCAACTGGAATAATGTAGTCGGCCAATCTAATGCCATTTCAGTGCTGCCACTGTAGTGTTCACACTTCAACGGCTTCCAAATAACTGGAATAATGTAGACGTTACAGATACAGTCCATCGCTGGACTGGATTCGCGCTGGATCACTGGACTGGAATGATGTAAACCGGACATATTGTTCATTATATAATCCGGTTATTTTGTTGATCCTTTTGACGATTGGTGGGGGCGACATTTAGCTTAATTGCTTTGCTTTTTTGGATTGTTTTGAATAAAATGCCTACAAACAGCAATACTGATATTTTAACTGAATTCAAAAAGGAAGAAGTTATCAATTCGAGTGTGTTTCTTTTTGTATTTATATTACGCGATATCATCGTAGATTGTGAACCGATTTTAATTTTTTAATAAGTGGAATATATCTTTAGAGTATTCCCATTAAATTTTGAAAAAAAAAATTCCGCCCAAAGGTGGTAAAAAGGTAGAATGTTTCATATTGGATTATTGTATTGTTAAAGTAATTTCATGTATATATATCTTCGCAAATAAAAAACCGAATTTAATGTATTTTTTCTTAAATAGTTATTTTGGATAGGTTTCGAACTCCGGTTCTGTACTCGAATAGCCATCGTAGCCCTACTGTACAAACACTTCAGCACTTCGATATACCGACAGTCATCTTGGCACCGCTGAGGGGACTGTAGCGCAGCCCAAATTTCGATGGAATCAAAGGCTTTCTCGTAGTCCACATATGCCAGGCAAAGTGGCAGATTGTACTCTTCGGTCTTCTGTACAATCTGCCGCAGAGTATGTATGTGGTCCATGGTACTGAAGCCTTTTCGGAAACGGGCTTGTTCGGGAGCCTGAAAGTCATCGAGTCTGCGTGCGAGACGATTCGTAATGACTCCGGAAAACAGTACGTAGACGCGGCTCAGAAGGGAAATCGGTCTGTAGAGAGAGCGTTGTCGCCTAAAAAAAGTACTTTATGGAGGGTCCCATATAAATTTAGAGAAAAAATTTTCAACCCTAAGGGTTGCAAATAAATCGCTTCTTTTATAGCAATTTGAAGTCAGTTTTTAATTTTTGTTAAAAGTTATATTTATTATTTATTATTTTTCCCTTTTAATCTTTGTAGGTTTATATTCAAGTAACTAAGTATAAACTATTCTATACCTATAACTAGGTGTAAAATAGTAGTGTGTTTCGTATGGCGAGTGTAGAGAACCGGAGATCCTTTTTACTGGAAATGAGACATTCCATCTTAGTCCTCACGGGTGACAACGCATCTGCATTTTGATTTGTAATCGAGGATAGATGTAGATGTCTATGGCCCACAGCATCCACTTACCATCAGGTGGACTGTGTGCTCGTTTGTCACCCTTATTCTATAAAAAAAAACGTAAAAATAAGTTGTAATTAAGTAAAATATCTTCTTGCAATAAATACCACACATACGTGGTGGCCACGTACTACGGATGTATTGTTTAAGATTACATAATAAAATTTAATATCATGATTCACACTTCCTTTATTATTAGTATATTTTTTCAGGTACCCGAACATATCATCCAGCGTGCTTAGTAACCCGATGAAATCATTAAATTAGGCAAAATAAAAACATCCTGTCTACGAGAACCTCCACGGCAATATCTTCCCATGTTCATAACAAACGCAATGTACACTGAGTCTAATTTCGCGTGCAATATTTTGCTATGACGTGACGTCAGGTGTGGCTCTTTGTACAATACTCTATGATAGCGTTACACAAATAAGTCCTCGATCGATATCGCTTCGCAGAACCACTCTTATCAACTGATAAGAACGTCCGTTAAATTTTATTCCTCAATAATTGCACCGTGACATAGAAAAAATAAAAATAATGAAGAGTAGTAACACGTTTGTAAGTCTATTATGGCTGTAGCATGAAAGGGTCGGTTCGACCGGGGCAGTACCATGCTCTCACAGAATACCAGCGTAAAATAGCAAGTTAATACTGCTGTGCATTGAGTTATGTGTAATATATAAATCAATGCTGCTGTGTTTCGTATGGTGAGTGTAGAGAATCGGTGACCCTCTTTACTGGAATCGAGGCATTCCATCTTAGTGCTCTGGGGTGACAACGCATTTGCATTTTGATCCTTACTTGAAGATAGATGTGGATGTCTATGGGCCACAGCATTCACTTACCACCAGGTGGATTGTGTGCTCATTTGTCACCCAACGCTATAAAAACACACAATTTTTTTACAGATTCATTAAATGTATTTGTTATACAAACCGGAAAGTTTTATTAAACTTTTAAGTTTTTTTATGAAATGAAACTGAAATTCAATTTTTCAAACACTGGGCCACCACTGATCACTAATTATTACTAAAACTGCCAAATTATATCGACGTCATTGCACGTCCACTAAACAAATATAACGAACATAATAATAAAAGAAAAACATGTAGAAAAAACATTTGCTCAGCAGCTGAGCTCAGTTAGTAGCTCACTGTAAATATCACAGTACGCGAGGAACCCGGCTTTGAAACCCGTCAGCACCAATGAAATTGTTTATTACAATTTCATTGGTTCTGATTTACCACATGCTCTACAGTGAAAAGTGCATTTGAGCCGTGGTAGCTCAGTGGTTAACGCTCGCAGTTAATATAACAGAACGCGAGTAACCCGGGTTCGATCCCCGCCGGCACCAATGAAATTGTTAATTGCAATTGTAAGTGCTGATTTACCACGTGCTCGGCGGTGAAGGAAAACATCGTGAGGAAACCTGCATGTCTGAGGAATAAGAAAAAAAATATTTCGAAGACATGTGAAGTTCGTCAACACGCATTTGGGCAGCGCGGCGGACACTTCCTTGCCCTAAACCCTCTCAGAAATGAGGGGAGACCTGAGCCCAGCAGTGGGACGTATATAGGCTGTAACTTTACTTTACTTTACTTTACTACAGTGAAAAAAAAATCAAGATGATGACATAGAAATTAAAAAAAATGTCGACGACATGTGATGTTCAATTTTCCTAGCCCTAAATACCTTCTCATGAATGAAGGGTCTCAGGTCAGGGTAGATCTCCTACCTATGCCCAGGAGTGGGACGTAGTTTTACTTTTACTTTACGTAGACAGCCACATTCTTTGTTATATTATTCTTGAAAAAAATCGATCCAGTTTTGGAGGAGGAAACAGGGAAATACAAGATAATGACTTTATCAATTGTTCTTCAATCAGTCAAAGCGGCAGTTATCTCTCTCAGATGCCTAGCTCAGCATTCGTGCACAATACGACAACAATATATCATTAAAAACCTATATCTCAAACTTTATGCCCAGATATTCTCTTAATAGCTTCTTGTTATTCGTAATTTGTCACCGCAGTTGGAAATCCTTTTATTTATTTACCAATTTATGTACACAAATAGTAATGCCACAATGTGAGAAGATAAAAAAAAATATTTTGTACAAGGGCACTGCTATTTCCTTTGATTCAGGTATATAATCAAAGCTTATTTCATATTGAAATTTCTTCCAGTAGGCCTGATAACGGACAAATTTAAAGAGAAGCGGATTTAGTGTGCACTCTCATAATATTAATATACCTAATTAATATAAAATAAAGATAATAAAACAAATACATGTAATAAATGCTCAAATAATAAATACTATACTATATACATAGATAAAACATAATACATATAGATACACATATACTATAGTATATATACTTCATATACAAGTCATACATTAGATCATTGAGACGACAAAGAAAAATAGTGATCTTTAGCTCGCCTTTTCTTTTTTGACTATTGCTGCACTGCTTTTTCTTCTTCGCCTATCTCTTTTTAGCCTAATGTTTGACTGAGAGGGAGTATCCTATAGCATTAAGTCCGCCATATGTACTACTTTGTGTACTAAAGTATAAACAAATGTAATCGGAAAAGTGGTTTTCCTATATAATAAGGGTGACAAACGACATTTATCCTCAATTAAGAATCAAAATGCAGATGCGTCGTCACCCGTGAGGACTGAGATAGAATGCCTCGTGTCCAGTAAAAAGGGTATCAGGTTCTCTACACTCACCATACGAAACACAGCAGCATTTGACACTGATATTCTGTGAGGGCGTGGTCCTACCACGGTTGAGCCGACCCATTTCTGCTGCAATCATAATATAGTTGCAGCGTGTCTTTACCTCTGTAAGAAGCTTAATTTGAGAGCTTTTTGCTTAAAAGATTAAATCGCTTTAGTTTCATCATGAAAGTAAAGTAAAGTAAAGTTACAGCCTATGTTCGTCCCACTGCATGGGCACAGGCCTCCCCCTCATTTCTGAGAGGGTTCTAGGGCAACGAACTATCCGCCGCACCGCCCCAATGCGTGTTGGCGAACTTCACGTGTCTTCGAAATATTTTTTTTCTCTTATTCCTCAGACATGCAGGTTTCCTCACGATGTTTTCCTTCACCGCCAAGCACGTGGTAAATCAACACTTAAAATTGCAACTAACAATTTCATTGGTGCCGGCGGAGATCGAACCTGGGTTATTCGCGTTCTGTTATATTTACAGCGAGCTTTAACCATCTGAGCTACCACAGCTTTATTTCAGTTTCATCATGAGTTACTAGATAATTTTAAAAAAAATATTCCACCTAACGGTAAGTACCTACTGTTATCGTTACAGCCTATCAGATCCATAGATGAACATTGGCCTACCTTATAGATTACCTCATACTTCCGTTTTTGTCAAGATGCTGCTCTCTTCTGTGTCAGTTATCCTCGGTCACCTCTTACGACAACCAGGGGTCTATATGGGATTGTAGATATTCTTACAACGCCACTACACCCGTTGATATGTGGATACTAAAACATAGACACTTCACAAGAAACAACTTCAGACTTGTATATATTCTTGACACGTATTATCACTCCTAGAGCCGTGGTTACTCAAGGGCTAAGAACTCGCCGTAAATTCACAGTATACCAACGATTTATTAATTGTAATTTTAAGTATTTACTGATCTCGTGCTCGGCGATGAAGAAGAATATCGCGAGGAAAGTTGAATGTCTGGAGATGATGAACATTTTGAAGAATTTTAAAGTATGTCAATAAGCACTGGAGAAGCGTGGCGGACTCATTCATCTATAATCCTCACAAACATAAGAGAATGCCTATGCCCAACGGTGGAACGTACATAGGCTGTAACTGTATCTGTCCTAAGGCTTAAATTAAATGCCTCACATTCTGTTAGTATACAGACTCACTTACCCTTTAAACCAGATCATGCAGTGGATATCCTGCTGCTGACAGCAGATATAAATAAGGCGGTGGTACCAAAGTAGTATAAGCCGAAAAGCCCAGCCTTATCGCCTATTTCGACTTTGAGGCTAGATTTACTAATAGTAAAGCAATTCCGTATCTATATTATGGTAGCACGAATGGGTCAGCTCTACGAGGAAAGGACTACGCTCTCACAGAATACCAGCATAATATAGCAGCTTGATGCTCGAATGTTTCGTATTGTAAGTGTAGAAAATTGGATACCATTTTTAATGGCAACGACGCGTTTCATCTATACCCTCAGGGATGACTCTTGGATCTATCAGGGATAATTTGACTTTTATCCGAGAACAGATGTATAATGTAATAACAGATGTATGTATATTTTATACGTGGTAGAGCCACTCTGCAGCTATAATATGTTTTTTTTTTAAAAAAAACGTTACCCCTACACTAAGATTTTCTCTTGTATCGTGGGGGCAGTTTAGAAACATAAATTGCACAAGGACAAACATCCAAACCCGGAACAACTATATGTAGGCCATACAAATACTTGTTCCGTGCGGGATTCGAACCCGCGGCCCCCAGCGCAGCTACTCAATGTAGTTGTAGCACGAATGGATTGGCTCGACCGGGGAAGGACCACGCTCTCACAGAATATCAGCGTAAGATAGTAGCTTAATGATGTTGTAATTAGTGTAGAGAACCGGCGACCCTTTTTACTAGAATCGAGGCGTTCTATCTTAGTCCTCAGGGGTGACGACGCATCTGCATTTTAATTCTTAACTGTGGTTCAGAATCGAGGTTAAATGTAGATGTCTATAGGCCGCAGCATCCAGTTACCATCAGATGGACTGTGCGCACACAGTGCTTTATGCATTACTTTATTTAAAAAAGCTGCATAGCAGCATATTAAAGAATTATTAATATTATTTTAAAAACTATGTGCCCTAACGCGATACCTTGCAACACTCTCACAAATAATTCAGTCGCGTTCTTATCATATTATCAAAGTGTACTGTATCGCCCACCTTTACGTTGAATTTCGAAATATTGATAAGATACTGCATGAAACTCGATACGGCAGTTTTAAATACAGTAGTGTTAAAGGGCCAGTGTATCGAACACCTTAGGACAGTCCGCAACAATTCAGCGATTTATTTCGGGCGTGGTTTTATAGGACTTTGGTCCTATTTAGTGCTTTTTTAGAGTGGATTGTAGTGTGTACTATGGGTTTGAAAAGGTTATTGTTTGTTTTATTCGTGGCCAGCAGTGCAGCGGCTCAGAATTGTAAGTATTTGTTATGTAACTCTGACGTTAGTGGAAATTTGATAAGAGAACCGATGATATTGTACTCAACTATTATAAGGTGTGTTTTGCGTACAACTTTAAAAAAATATAGTATAAGGGTGACAAACGAGCACACAGTCCACCTGATGTCAAGTGGATGCTGTGGCACATAGACATCTACATTTATCTTCAATTAAAAATCAAAATACAGATGCGTTGCCAGCCCTGAGGACTGAGGTTTATTTCCACGTTTCCAGTGAACAGGGTCTCCGATTCTCTACACTCACCATACGAAACACAGCACCATTAGCTGCTATTTTACGCTGGTATTCTGTGAGAGTGTGGTCCTACCCCGGTCGAGCCGAACCCATTCGTGCTGCAACCACAATATAGATGCAGCATGGCTCTACCTCGTAACAAAGTTTTTAAAAATAATAAAACTGATTCTGTAAAACAAGAAAAATTATTTCCATATAATAACTTCTGAAGATGGTGCTGAGACATAGGTATTTATTTATTTATTTATATTTCTTGAAGTCCGTTATACAAATAAAACAGTATAATTATTTTACTCCTTTGAGTTGACAAAGAAATGTTATAAGTTCAAGCTCATAACTAGAATGTGGTATACATGTGTTCATTAAAGTTCATCCCCAATTTTTCCACCCTTTGGGGTGAAATATTTTTTAACATTTATTATTCTTATTTCGTAACTGCCTCTGAGCATAAAGATCTAGCAGATACCCGATCGCTTCGCTGGGCGTACGATAATAGACGTTAATAACTTAGATATAAAAATATCAAGAATTTTTGGAACTATCGTAAAATCCGTTTTTAGTGAGTGGAGTCTACATTGCGAAATGAGTATACTTACAAAATTTTAAGTTAATCGGAAATATATTTTTAGAGAAACATTGTGATAATTCAGTCAGTCAGTCAATGACAATACAAAAAAAAACATGCGCATTGAATATTACAACTTATCAAAGACGAATCAAAAATAATAGAAATAATTAAAACGTCTCGTTTCCAAAAGAAAATATTAACCTCGTCAAGTCATCATTATATGTAGACGGACAATAAGACATTTAGTAGATAATATTTTCCACAAGTACTATAAAATACATAAAATTCAGCAACGTTATCTCTCGCTTGAATTTGAAACGCGTGTCCTACCTTCATGACTGATAGGTATTTAGTATGACGACTTTAAATTTACTAATCGATTACGGTATTTGATTTTTTTTTATTAGAGTAAGGGTGATAAACGAGCACACAGTCTCCTTGATATTAAGTGGATACCGTGGTTGCAAATGTATATACATTCGCATCTATCCATCTTACTCAAAATCTATTTGATCGGTCACCTGGAAAATTGTTATACAGGATTAATTTTCAAAGCCATTTTAATAGCCAAATTTGAAACTTAAGTTCAAATGTATACATAATGGTCAGATCTTGATCAATGGGACCACACGAGAAGTACCAACTTTCAAGAGCAAAAAAAAAGATTCATCAAAATCGCTTTACCCAGAAAAAACTTCTGAGGTAAAACACATAAAAAATTGAATTGAGTACTTCCTCCTTTTTGATGTCTGATAAAAAATAAACGAAACCTTGACTGTGGAGGGTTCTCTATCCTCCATAACCTTGACATATTATACTCAACAGTTTATGGAAAAAGGAATATTTGAAACCACACTAAAATTAAGAGGCATTTTATAATTATTTGCCTACAGAGCCATAGAGTAGTGGTTCTCTGTGCGACTATAGTTTTAAGTGTTTGACGTATGTAGTATGAAAGTAAACAAACTATATATATTATTATTTATTATTTATTTTATTTAACTTAATGTTTTTTGCACTACTGCTATATCAGGGTTGTAGCACGAATGGGTCTGCTCGACCGGGGAAGAACCAGGCTAATTATAAAATACCAGCTTATTGCTGCTATATTTCGTATGGTGAGAATACAGCACTGGAGACCCTTTTTATTGGAAACGAGGCATTACATTTTAATTAACAAAAGTGACATTTCATCTTCATTTTGATTCTTCATCGAAGACCGATGTGGATGTCTATGGGCTACTGCACTCCACTTAAGATTAGGTGACCAAGTGCGTATCGGGCCACACAAACTGTAGAGGTAGGGTTCCGTAGTTGCCCGTCACAATACGTGAAATTAGAAGGGGCATTCTTGATAACGAGCATATTAAATGACTTTGCGGTTTGACCGCTATATTGACTAAAATGGGCCAAAATGGGACGATGTTAATTAAAGAACTAATTTTCAAGCAGACTTACAGGGTGGTATTCAAAAAGATTTAAAAAACTTTACGATTTTGAAATTAATGCAATCTACATCAAATATCATTCACATGCCAAGTCCGTACAAAAATGGTCATTGTTCCCTATCCATCTATTAGTTCCCGGCAGCGCAACCCTCAAATATACATAACTATAATGAACCTTCCGTTAACCACTTCTGCCCTAAACCATCCTGAGGGTTGCACGCGTAAGCCAAGTGTACCACGAATGAAACTGTAAGCCTACAATAACTACTAAACTAAAAAGCGAAAGTGATATGTCAGGATCGGTCTCTTGGCGATCGATTCTCTCTCTAATCTTACTGCAAAGGAAAACTATGCCAAACTACAGATTTGTAGGGTCTCTGAATACGGACGGACGTATGGACATGACGAAACTAATAGGATAAGTTCCTTGTCGTTTAACTACAAACACTAAAAAAGGTAACAACTTCTCTGTCCGCGAAAACTACACAAATAATTAAACAATCGAGATGTTCATATATATCCAGTGAAATGGTTAATTACATATACGGAGGATACTAAAACATTTCTTTCTCAGTGAAAGTCTGCATCTCCACGTCAAATCCGGTCCTGTGCCAGGGGCTCGACAAGGATGGGAGCCAGGCAGTCTGCGAACCCGTGGAGTCGAGGTCTGTATCTTCACAAAAATAACTTTGATATTAAATTACACTATTTTATACCGGAACTCATAGGGCGAGAGGTTTCGGCGGAGCGTGAAGTGAAGCGTCTATAAATAATGTCCTTCTAACCGAATTACAGGCACAGCAGCGACTCCCAACGGACGGAGTTCATCTGCATAGGGCAGAATTGCACTTAAAGTTCTCTCACTCTCATGGTCTCATACTCTTGTAGAAAGTTATCAGGGGCAGGGTCAAATGCTGTATGTGCTTTCCGAGACACTGGGATGAAATATCGCCAAGTTCCTGATTCCCCGGCTGCTACAAATAAAGTCTAGGGGAAAAAACCCAATAATTTAGACGTGGTAGAGCCATGCTGCAGTTATATTAGTAGTATAATTGTAGCACGAATGGGTCGGCTCGACCGGGGAAGGACCATGCTCTCTTAGATTTAACCCGTGATTTTATACGTGGTACCAGGCTGCAGTTATATTAGTAGTATAGTTGTAGCCTTGTAGACTGCCTCGTTGGTCTAGTGGTTGTAGTAGTGCGACTGTTGCTAATGATTGGTTCGAATTGATGGGTTCGAATCCCGGGTCGGGTAAATAAGTTAATTATTGAGTTTTTTCTTCAAGAAATTCTCAGTAGTTGCCCGGAGTCAAGAAGTTGGCGGTGTCTCAACCCCGTGCGTCGGAAAGCACGTAAAGCCGTTGGTCCTGCGCCTGATCTCTCTCCGGTCGTGTAGGCTTACCGTCCCATCGGTTTATGAGAGTGAGGGAATAGAGAGTGCACCTGTGCTTGCGTATACACTTGGGCACTATGATCCTGCCCTGCGCCGATGGCTAGCCTCCGTTTAGGCAGGCCGCCGTGGCCGGAATTCGGTCTGGAGGACATTATTATTATAATAGTTGTAGCACGAATGGGTGCACTTGACCGGGAAAGGACCACATTCTCACAAATTACCAGCGTAAAATAGTAGCTTAATGCTGCTGTGTTTCGTGTGGTGAGTGTAGAACCGAAGACCGGAGACCCTTTTTACTGGAAACGAGGCATTCCATCTTAGTCCTCACGGGTGACAACGCATCTACGTTTTGATTTGTAATCGAGGATAGATGTAGATGTCTATGGGCCACAGCAACCACTTATCATCATGTGGACTGTGTGCTCGTTTGTCACCCTATCCCAAAAAAAAACCCGACATGGGATTCAAATCCAGTAACTTATGATGACTAGCGTTTGCAGCGTAATATACAGACACTGTGTAGCGTCTTCGCAAAATGTCAATATTTATTAATTCCATCATTCATTACACCCTTTCAAAGCTCCGCTGTTGTACTTCGGCCTCCCCACATAAAGGTACGGACAGACGTGCTCATTACTAGCACGAAAGCATGCTTTTATTGAGCAAGTGCTCATTCGTAGCACGTGTGTACACTCATTGCTAATAATGAGTATGCTTATTTTGAGCGTGATCAAAAATTTTTTTCGAGCAAGCTACCTGAGGCGCGGGTAGGAGGGGGCGTGCTTCAAGCGCGTATGAACAGGTTTGCTTATGATAATTTTCTATACATGTGTCAATCGTAAATGATTCGTTCGTTTGAGCTGTTTTAGAATGTCCCGATACAACCAATCACAAAAAATTGACGGAACCTTTTTAACTCGTGATTGGTGTCAATTGTGAATGGCTCGAAAACCGCCCGTATCCCGAATGATCGGCATGAATTGTATTTAGTGTGGGGTACTGGAGCTCGAAATAATCCATTTGAATGATCGATCCGAATGTACCGGTACGTGTACGAAATGTACTAGAATGATTCGGTCACGAGAAATGAATGATTGACACATGTCTAATAACAAGCTGTGAGTCATTCCATCTGGTAACACATCCTTCTTTGGTTAAAGTTGGTTGTATGTGTCCATGGGCAGCAAGTGGTACTTACCATCACGTCAGCTATTAGTTCCTACGTTCGTTCGGTCTTATAAAAAAATCGCTAAATTCAACAAAAAATGACATCACAATAGCACCTTGAAAATATTGCTTACAGATTCTTATTTCAGAACTTTTTTTCAGAGTGGACTGTGCTATTAAGCTAGCCCGTAACGCTGCGGATATTGGCGTGTTCTCAGAAGAAGAGATGATGCTGCTCACACAGCAACAACCGAATGACAATAGAGTTATCGCCACAATCAAAGATGTGTACAGACCAGGTAAAGAGTAATGACCGATTCACACATATCTGTGAAGTCACAGTTCCGGGACAGTATCGCCAACGTGTTAATTAATTTTTCTAAAATATAAAAATACAAATTAATTCGCAACCTTCCGCTAAATAAATACAACTAGGCGCCGTAGAGTTTACATTACCTGAGGATGCCTCGTGTAGTGGTGAAACACGTGTCGCATTATCGTCGATGGTGTGTCTTACCTGGAATACCTAGGCTGCACTAAAAGTATCGGGAATGGAATATTTCCACTGTTCCTGTCATATTAAAATCTTTTTACTTGAAAATCCTTGGTTTTAAAAATCGAATACCATTTATTTATTTAAAAAAAGATTCTCGATCTTGTCACAAGGTTTTGTCAAACTTGTTTAGTCGTTTATAAAATGGAATAAACTCGAGAAAATTCAAGAGCGATAATTTATTATGACTTTCGAAGTGGTTTAACACAAAAACAGTGTGTTGACCGGATGATTGATTGAAGCCCCATCCAAAACCACAATTTATCTCTGGTTTGATGGATTTCAACGTGGACGTGTCAAGCTCAGTGATGATCCCCGTTAAGGTCATTCAAAAACTGCAGTCACCCAAGAAAACGTTGATGCTGTGCGTAAGCTGAATGAGGAAGATCGACATGTGACATACCGCGAAATTCAGGCAACTTTAGACATTGGCATGAGTCAAATACAAATAATCTTGCTAGAACAATTAGGTGTAAAAAAGTTGTTTTCCCAATGGATACCGCATACGCTCTGTGAAGAGCAAAAAGCGGCTCGCGTTACTTGGTGCATCAGAACTCTCGAAAGATTCCACGCAGGATCCTCAAATGCTGTATACAACATCGTATCAGGCATTGAGCTATTATGTACTACGTACTAGAGGCGACACTGCATTCAGCTACTCTGTTCCACTCAACTGCGATGCATACACCGCACTCTAATCAGTCACTCACTAGGCGCTTGTGGAGATGTCACGTATTGTGTTGATTTAAAAAAATCTCCTGATAAAAATATGCCGTCGTGTGTACTTAGATATTGCACAAATAATTCAAGAAATGTCAGTAAAAACCAAGGAATTACTTTTCATCGCTTAATAAGATATCAATAAAAAAGCATTATATATTAATAATAAAACAAATTATTTCTAAGATGCCATCTCGTGTCATGGAATATAGATTATGAAATTAATATGTTCAGATGCGACATTTCTTTGGGTACTTAAGTATAGGACGAATATATTATTATACACATTTTTTTGTAGAAACATATATAAGTTATTATAATTAGCAAAATTTTAATGTTTAAATCTGCTTGTTATTCTTTTATTTTTAGGTTTCCAGTTTCCACATTAAAGTCAAGGTAGAATAAATTCGTCCATTTTTAACTCTCGCGTGCCCAGCATTTATGAACGACTCTTATTCTAATTTAAATTAATATACTTGTAATTTAAAAGTTATTTTAATAAGTTTTGATAAACATACATTTACTATTTTTTTTATATTTGACATAGATACCTTTTAAAATACTCAGATAAAAATATCATTAAAATGTAATTGTGACATAATGTTATGTGATATTATATTAAATAAGCAAATATAATATACAAAATAAATAACAAAATTTAAATATTATTCTCGATATAATTTACCTATTTAACAATACAATCTACTATTACCTACGGAACATTCTGTCTATGTTTATTCTATGATAAAAAACCAACCACGCGAATACAGAATAGCGCACATTTTTTGTTTGAGATAGCTATTCTAGTACATAAGTACATATTACTTCAATGGTGACGAATTCTGGATATACGCGTACGAACCCGAAACAAAAAACCAGTCACGAGTTTGGGTGTTCGAAAATGAGTTAAAGCCAACAAAAATTGTTCGTTCACGGAGTGTTGCAAAAAAAATGGTGGCCACGTTTGTCTCCAAAACCGGCCATGTTACGACTATTCCTCTTGAGGGACAAAGAACGGTTAATGCAGAATGGTATGCTAGCATTTGTTTGCCACAGGTCGTTTCTGAACTCCGTAAAGAGAACTGCAACCGCCACATCATCCTCCATGACGACAATGCGAGTTCTCACACCGCACACAGAACAAAAGAGTTTTTAGAGCAAGAAAACATAGAATTATTAGACCATCCGCCGTACAGCCCCGACCTAAGCCCTAATAATTTCTATACTTTCCCAAAAATAAAGAATAAATTGCGTGGCCAGAGATTTTCATCACCTGAAGAAGCTGTGCACGCCTACAAAACGGCCATTTTGGAGACCCCAACTTCCGAATGGTTGCTTCAATGATTGATTCCATCGTATGGAAAAATGTGTCAAATTTCGCACAGAATACTTCGAAAAGCAATAAATACATTTTTAAATAGTAATGTTGTGTCACTTCCTTGATTCCCGAAATTTTCAGTGCCACCTAGTAGTGGGGTTGGGAGTAGTGGTGCTGGGACTAGTGGTGACGGAGTTAGTGCATGCAATTGAGGGAGGGCGGGAGGTGCTCTTCAATTCAGGTAAAACACATCATTGTATTTATTTAGCGGAAGGTTGCGAAGTAATTTATATTTTTATATTTTATTATAATGGATTTCCGCAAAGTAACGCCTGATTCTATCAATTAAATTAATTTTTCATACATTATTTATGAATAAGTCCACACTTGTCAGTTTCAGTGACAACACAGTGCTATCATTGACTGAGTTTTTGGGTATATTCCGAATTAGAACCCAGTATACCGGCCAATGCAAACGACGTCATAAATCGACGTCTTGCTGTTGATTCGTTATATCGAATATGGTGGAATATGCCGTCAATTAATGACATCATTTGCATTCGCCAGTACACTGGCAACATTTTGGAACATACTTTTTATGTCAGATCACACACGCCACTGCATCAAAAACAAGCTCTTGGAGAAATAACCTTCCACCAAAGAGTATCTTTCTTTCCTAAGTTGCTTCCTAGTTTCTACAGAAGAATATTGAAACAGCTTTCTGACGTTTTAAAAATTCAAAATATTAACTTTCGTCTTTAACTATGTAATTCTTCGTATAATGTCATGGTAAAGTTGGATGAAATGGAAAACATGCAGGAAGTCGATGAAATCAGGTAGCTCAGAACCATGTTTTTGATATTCCTTGGGGAAGGCATAGGCAAGCAGTAGTGGCAATTCCTCTTGAAGTTCTGTAATAAGTGAATGAATTAATGAAATAATTTCATGAACTATTTTTGTGTTTCTCTTAATTGCCATGCCTCATGCACCCATTTCCCTCTTTTTTTTGACGTGACAACGTCTAATAAATCGATGAACGCCGGCTGCACGCACGAAAAAGGATGACTCTTTGTAACGTTACGCTCATTGTAACGGTACGATCGGAGCGAGAGCGCTGCACGAGCGAGCGAAAAGCACGATCGGCTTGAGAGTAAAAATAAATTTATCAATTACATTGCAGATTTCATTTCACTCCTTCTTTGTATCCATACAAAATAATGATAATTCAATAAAAATGATTCAATTTTATTTATAAAATTGTGCATTCATTTCATCAATGTTTTGTTACGACGTTGTCACGTTAAATTATTTTCAGTAAACCGACTTTACAGACAACCAATTTTTTACTTGATGATGCTCTTTCTTTTTGTCTAAATCAATGGCTATCATTGCTAGTTACGAATTATTGAACAGGGCCACAACAGCCATAGCAACAATCACATTTACCTCAGTAATTCGCAAACGTTTTGCCTGAAAGTCCGTAACCTGAGTACTAACATCTGTAAATTGAAGCACTGTAGCACTGATACGGACCTGTGCGTTGCTGGAACTGTGACTTCACTGATACGTTTGAATCGGCCATAAACCTTTCTTATGCGAAAATCTATCGTTAAATACGTGTAAAATAACATTGGAGTTTGAAATAACATCAGAGTTTTAAAATAATGTTATAGCTTAATATAATATCAGAGTTTAAAATCATGTTTGAGCTTAAAATAATATTAAAACTTATAAGAATTTTTGAGCATAAAATAATATTAGTTTAAAATAATTTTAGTATTTAATATAATGTTAGAGTTTAAAATAATTTAAGAACTTAATATTATGTTAGAATTTAAAGGAATATTAAAGCTTTAAAATAATATTATAGTATAAATAAGGAGCTCAAAAAACTTAACACGCATTAACGCAATCAAAAGAAACGTACTCACACATGTCCGGTTATTTTAGTGTTTAATATAATGTTAGAGTTTAAAATAATTTAAGAATTATGTTACAATTTAAAGTAATATTAGAGCTTACAATATTATTATAGTATAAATTAAGAGCTCACTTAACATGCATTGACGCAATCAAAAGAAACGTACTCACACATGTCCGGTTATTTTAGTGTTTAATGTAATGTTAGAGTTTAAAATAATTTAAGAATTATGTTAGAATTTAAAGTAATATTACAGCTTACAATATTATTATAGTATAAATTAAGAGCTCAAAAAACTTAACACGCATTAACGCAATCAAAAGAAACGTACTCACACATGTCCGGTTATTTTAGTGTTTAATATAATGTTAGAGTTTAAAATAATTTAAGAATTATGTTAGAATTTAAAGTAATATTAGAGCTTACAATATTATTATAGTATAAATTAAGAGCTCAAAAAACTTAACACGCATTGACGCAATCAAAAGAAACGCACTCACACATGTCCGGTTATTTTAGTGTTTAATGTAATGTTAGAGTTTAAAATAATTTAAGAATTATGTTAGAATTTAAAGTAATCTTAGAGCTTACAATATTATTATAGTATAAATTAAGAGCTCAAAAAACTTAACACGCATTGACGCAATCAAAAGAAACGTACGCGCACATGTCCGGTTATTTAACTGTTATTTTTTCAGTACCCTACGCATTCGAAGCGGTCGCTGTAGTAAGTAGCACCCACACTGGAGGCCTGGAAGGTTTACGTGGAGGTACCTATTGCCATCCAGGTTTTGATGAATCTGAACCACGCTGGTCTCCACGAGTTTTGAAAACTTTTGAAAGGGTGGTACGTTTCACATTTTTTTAATTATCAGTAATATTTAATTATCAATAAGCTCATAAGGCGTAAGGGAACTGTGTGAATGTGGCGAAAGTAATAAAATGAAATGATGTTAAATGCAATGAAATTAAATGAAATGAATTTCTACACCATATAAAAATGAATTTCGTTAGTCAAATATCTTTTTTTAAACCTGCTATTTCGAAATGAGGTTCCTCTGAACCGGAAAAAGACAGTGTATGAAACTCCGTAGACATTTTTTTATTATCATGTTTCTTAAAGTTCATATTACGCAGCATAATATATACGGAATGGAAAACGATAGCAGACCCATCGGTAACTGAAGTAACTATGTTCTAAGATTTAATAGCATCCATCATCCCATTTTATCCCGTGGTCAATTGTAGATTATCAATTGCGTTAACGCAAGAAAAAACGTTGGGGGTTAAATATTTATTTAGATTAATAAAAAGATAAAACAATTTTTATTAATAATGTCCCAGCAAAAACATAAATTTACCAGTGATGACCTATGGATCTGAGACGTGGTCCTTCACTGCCGGCCGTATGAGGAAGCTTAAAGTCGATCAGCGAGCTATGGATGAGCTATGCTCGAAGTTTCTCTGCGTGATAAACTTAGGAATGAGGATATCAGCAGTATAACTAGAGTAATAGATATAGCCCAACGGATTAGTAAACTGAAGTGAGAATGGGTCGGCCACATAGCTCGAAGAACCGATAATTGTTGGGAAAAAAGCTCTCGAGTGGCAGCCTCGTAACGGCAGGCGAAGTGTAGGGCGTCCCCCCACTAGATGGAGTGACGACCTGGTAAGACATGCGGGAAGTCGATGGATGCAGGATGGTTCAGGGCCGTGCTTTGTGGCATTCCTTGGGGACTTGTGAAGGGATGTAATGATAGTGATGAATGATGAAAAACATAAATGTGAATAGGGGCCCCCAAGTTCAGTACAAACGATGTTCGGAATGTCGGCGATGCCAAAAAAAAGTAGAGATCTGAAAGGGTTCCAGCGCACATTCTCCGAAATGCTTACTGTAGTATATATACCAAGAGGCTAGCAACGCTGCACATGTGCTGACAAGATTGGTTTCAACAAAATCAAGGTCACCAATACGCCCTTTTTTATAGGATAGGGTGACAAACGAGCACACAGTCCACCTGACGGTAAGTGGTTGCTGTGGCCCATAGACATCTACATCTATCCTCGATTACGAATCAAAATGCAGATGCGTTGTCACCCGTGAGGTAGTCCTCATTGATGAGATGAAATGCCTCGTTTCCAGTAAAAAGAGTCTCCGGTTCTCTACACTCACCATACGAAACACAGTAGCGTTAAGCTACTATTTTACGCTGGTACTCTGTGAGAGCGTGGTCCTTCCCCGGTCTAGCCGACCCATTCGTGCTATAACTATACTACTAATATAACTGCAGCATGGATCTACCACGTCACTTTCACTTTCATTGAGTCCAATGTTGTTACACGTATTGGTAAAATGGCATTTTGCAGCAATAGCCCGTACAAATATGTGACAACAGTACCTCATGCACGATCAGACTGAGAGGAGTGATTTTTTTGGCATCACTATTTGATTTTTTTTAAAACGTTACCTCCACATTAGAATTTTCTCCTGAATCGTAGAGGCAGTTTAGATACAAAATTGTACAAGGACCTTATACGCCATACAAATACTTGTTCCGTGCGGGATTTGAAGCCGCGGCCATCAGCGGTGTAAAAAATAAAACATAGATTTTTATAGAAATATTCAATTTATTGCAATACTATTAATTCTTACAGGTGATTCGGACCGATCGATGCCCGGGCGTAGAGGTGGACGGTAAGACCGCCGAGGAGCTGGAAGTGGACGCATTGAGCAAATTCTTCTCGAACGCCTGCAGACCTGGACCGTGGAGTGCCAATGACACAGTGGACGCCAACCTGAGTAAGATTTAAGACCTTGTTTGAAACAAGTAGTGACGGTTTAAGATGGATTATCTCACCAAACTACTACATATCAGCCTCATTTTCATTATACAAACAATGAATTTCCTCAACTCAACTTGATTTTTTTAATAGGATAGGATGACAAACGAGCACACTGTCCACCTGATGGTAAGTGGTTGCTGCGGCCCATGGACATCTACACCAATCCACGATTACGAAACAAAATGCAGATGCGTTGTGACAACGATGAGGAGTAAATTTACACATTTTAGACTTTTGATAAATGTTCAAGATCATCATTAAATTTTAATACATATTTATTTCTAAATAGGGTGCAATTTGACATTTTCTAAATAATTTGCATGCGAAATATGGAAACGATTGTAACGTCGAAACACATTTCGTGTTGACATTTATACGTGTGAATTGACATGTTAGTGACATTTTAGTGCGTACTCGGGCTCCGCCCACTCCCCCGTTCTATTATGTATGTTTTATGGTATGTATATAGTATATGCGTCTCACACTATTTTTTTAGACGGATAGAGTAGTGTGAGTACAAAGAAAAACGTTTTACAGTAAAGTTAGAAAATAAGTCATGTTCATCATCATTACAGGTCATCAAAGTTGACTGAAGACTGTTGAATATAGGCTTTTGGATTTCTTTAATAGATTGCCTCACACATTTAATATTCCCCATATTTGTCATAATTCCCACACTTGGCAGGCAGGATTTCAACCGCACTTTGTAATTTTAATTTGATATCGGGAAAATATTCCTGCCCCCATCACCTGCTTCTGTTTCCATATAATGTGTAGTATTCAACCTTTAAATACAACCATTAAATATAATTGATTATATTTTATATGTGGTAGAGTCATGCTGCGGTTATATAGTATAGTTGTACAACTATACTTATACATTTATAAGTATAGTTGTAGCACGAATGGGTCGGCTCGACCGGGGAAGGACCACGCTCTCACAGAATACCAGCGTCAAATAGTAGCTTAACGCTGCTGTGTTTCGTATGGTGAGTGTAGAGAACTGGAGACCCTTTTTACTGGAAACGAGGCATTCCATCTTAGTCCTCACAGGTGACAACGCATCTGTATTTTGATTCTTAATTGAAGATAAATGTAGATGTCTATGGCCCACAGCATCCAGTTACCATCAGGTGGACTGTGTGCTCGTTTCTCACCCTTATTCTATAAAAAAATGACGATGATGATGATGACATTTTTGTTTTTATATTACTATTAAAATGCGTTCTTACACTCACATTAAGCACTCCCACCCTTACACTCGCCGTCGGAAAATATTTGTAACAAATTTTCTGTAAGACACAGAGAATAAGAAAGAAAATAACATTTTGTAAAGGAAACCTGGTATTCAACCAAGCCAACGTCATTGAGCCAGGTAATATAATTTCCAGAAAGTAAATACTCATCGCTCTGCTCACTCTGCGGTGAAAACAATGACTGTTCAAAATACACCCTGAACATGGGTGTCGAGATAGCTGGTGTTTCCAACGACAACCGTCATATTCAGGCCCTGGAGTGTATGCGCACGAACCAGAACAACAGTGTGGCTTACGTGGCGTGGAATCACGTACGCGAATACTTTATGGTGAGTTGTCTATATTTGAATTTATTTCTTTTTTATTGTGACCTCAGTATATTTACGATAATTTAATTTATTGCACAATCATAATAGTTTTATTAAAAATTGTTATGTGTATTCTGTGTATATTACTTTACTATTGACTGCCCCGTTGGTCTAGTGGTTGTAGTAGTGCGACTGCTGATCATGAGGTCCTGGGTTCGAATCCCGGGTCGGGCCAAAAAATTAATTATTGAGTTTTTCCTTCAAGAAATTCTCAGTAATTGCCCGGAGTCAGGAAGTTGGTGGTGTCTCACACCCGTGCCTCGGAAAGCACGTAAAGCCGTTGGTCCTGCGCCTGATCTCTTTCCCGGTCGTGTCGGTTTACCTTCCCATCGGATTACAAGAGTGAGGAAATAGAGAGTGCACCTGTGTTTGCGCATACACTTTGGCACTATAGTCCTGTCCTGCGCCGGTGGCTAGTCTCCGTTGAGGCAGGCCGCCGTGACCGAAATTCGGTCTGGAGGACAATATATACATACACTTTACCAGTTAGTAGACTCCAGTAATATTAAGTTACGCTTTTACAACAAAGGCTTAGAAAGTATGCAGGTCTATTATTCCATTAGAAAATCTATTAGAAAATTTAAAATTAATATATAAAACCAAAACTGTAAAAAATAATTATAACAAAATTTAAAAAAACATGATTGGATAATAAGTAATTTATTTGGACTACATTGTAAATTAATATGTCAAGAAAACCCGCTGGACTTTATTACATGTTCTTCCCAGGACAGAGATTTTTCCAAACCAATTGGTAAAAACACATATTATGACTTTCAGTAAGTATTAAGTCCCGTCACGTCCTGTCCCGTCCCGCTCCGTCCCGTCCCGTCCCGTCCCTACCCGTCTCGTCCCGTAAACCGTTGCTCCAAAACCATCTTAGAAATAGAGGAGGCTTGTGCCCAACAGTGGGATGTATATAGGCCGTAACTTTAATGTTTCTTTTATCTTTCAGACCCGTAACCCTCAAGATGCAGGACAGTACTCTCTTCTCTGCGAAGACGGCTCGTTGCAAGCTCTCACAGCTGACGTCCTCAGTTCTCTCTCGTCCCCGTGCGCATTTGTTAGACAGCCCTGGAGTGCTATCGTCGCGTCCGCGTAAGTTTCATAATATGAACAATCCAGAATAAAGGGGCAAAATATACTGGGTGATTTTTTTACCGTCTGGAAAAAAAGGGTATAACAGGTGAACGGAATAGAAGCCTATGGCACTGATATTTTACAATTTTTTTTCTTTTACATTAACATATTATGAAATTGATCTATCAATAAATACTACTAATTTGAAATAAACTATCGGTACTAAAAATAAAAACAAAAATTTTGAACTAAATATATAAATCAATTAAAAGCTATTAAAATTAAAATAATTGGCATCCCATTAGTAGTATTTATTGATAGATCAATTTCATAATATATTATTGTAAATTTTTATTCCTTTCCTTTGTTTCCTTTTATCGCCTCTTGCAACACTCAGGGATTATAAAAGAAAAAAAGAAAGTAAAAGTATGAAAGAAATAAAAAAAGTTATGATTTGTTTGTTTGGATTGTGAGTCCTCCTATATCGCCACGACATTGCTAATACTTAGGACACTAGTGTAAATTAAGGCATAATACTGCTGTGTTTCGTATAGTATAAGATCGGGAGACCCTTTTTACTGTTAACAAGGTATTAGCTTTGTGACTGTGTAAGCGATGTACTAACCTATCAATAATTTCTTTCACAATTTTCCATCCAAACACAACATTTACTGGCTAAACTACTCTGCGGGATTACAGACAAGTAGTATTTATGTATTCTTTAACAGATTATAAACTTTTGATAAATAAGTCATGCATATTTTCTAGAACTATGTTGTAAACGCTATACGCATTTCCCCACGAAGACATTACTGGCTATTTGGAGTTGAGTATGAGAAACGAAGAAAAAGAAATTGAATGAAACGTAGACAGAGAAACCTATAGACAAATTGACGCCTTCTTTCGCATTCGCACACGAAAAAGATAGATTTATGCATACGTCTGGCATAGAAATGAGACAGAGCGGTGTGATTGTTTGTCCCTTTCTCCGTGCTACTTTTTTTGTTCAGCAAACTACACTTTGCTAAACCACTTTGACAGTTCGTAGCGATCTAAGGAGTTTACAAGTCGGTTTAAGTGAGAAAGAAAGTATTCTATGAGATTAAGATTGTTAAATCTTGTCCAGTTCAATTCTTAGAACTTAAATTTTTTATCTAAATATGTTTAAAAGTCATAAAGATTATTGTATAACCTAAAACTACGTTATCGTCCTTTCTCACTCGAGGCCTCGCTAATCATTAGTCTATAGGTTTCTATGTCTACGGATGTAATATATTTGACTTTTGACTTGAAACATGGCGTTACGACAATCTTCTTACCTTGAACGGGTTATAATCAACATAGATATGTTTGCTAAGTCCTGGGAATGAAATTTTTTTTTATAAAACTAACGTTACAAATGTTCAACACCTGCAACCCATTTTAAAGAAAGAGACTAAAGATGTGTCGACACCTCTGAGAACTAAAATGGAATACCTTACAGGTTATTATCACTACTGGCTCGCTATAGCCTTCAGACCGAAACACAGCTGTACAAGGACTGTTTAGTAATTAACAGAACTCTGTATTTTCCAGAGCTTCAGCACAAGCAGCTCAGACAAGTCTTCGAACCTGGTGGCCAAACGGTGTGAATCCTGGTGGCAACACCTGGCAATCGATCTTATTTAATGGCATCATTGGCGGAAATAACGCAGTCATCAACTTCGAGGATACACTACCATCGCCTGCGAATTACACAGCTCAAAGTAGGTTAAGCCAATTGGAAATAGAAATGGAGATAATGCATACTCCGTTCTCTAGTTTTAACTATTTAATCCGTAAACATTTCACCAATATGTCATAAAACTAGTAGATTTATATAATACCGACTAGACTATAATTTACTGAAGCTGTGGTTTTCTAAATATGCATATTATTTATTCTGTTTCCTTTTTATCTTCCCGCTATGAAAATCAATAATATTCAAAAAATCGGGAAGTTATTGGTTTCAGCACTGGTACACCCCCTATTTTATTATTGTGTGTGTGTGTGTGTGTGTGTGTGTGTGTGTGTGTGTGTGTGTGTGTGTGTGTGCGTATTCATGTGCGTGCGTGGTTTGTGTGTGTGTGTGTGTGTGTGTGTGTGTGTGTGTGTGTGTGTGTGTGTGTGTGCGCGTATGCATGTGCGTGCATGTGTGTGTGTGTGTGTGTGTATGTGTGTGTGTGTGTGTGTGTGTGTGTGTGTGGCGTGCGTGTGTGTCTGTGTGTGTGCGTGTGTGTGTGTGTGTGTGTGTGTGTGTGTGTGTATGTGTGTGTGTGTGTGTGTGTGTGTGTGTGTGTGTGTGTGTGTGTGTGTAACGGTTTGAACGGCTTGACCGCTTAAAACGCGATTCACAGCACTCGAAAGAATTCTATTGCCATTAGGTTCCATGTGAATTTGAATCAATTCTGCTCGGTGGATTTTGGGAAATCTCAAAAATTAAATTTTTCATAAATGTATTTTGAGATAACTTTTAAACTAATGCAACGATTCCAAAATAAACCGCATCAAAATCAATTCATTCCTGCAAGAGAAATCGTTATCGAACTTTTTGATTTTTTATGACCTTTCATTTATTATAACGTGTGGTGGAATTTGGACCGCGTTGAAATTAGCGGTGTGATGAGCTTAGTGATGTGTGTCATCTGATGGTAATCCAAATAAAGACGGATAAAACCCAAGATTCTTAGGTCGTGGCTTTGATATCCATTCAAAAGTTCGCATCTTCTTTATCAGGTGAAAGTCTAGTGCTGTACTTTTCTGCTGTAGGGATTTGCCTTTATCGTCACGTTTCACAGGTGGATTACGCTCACAGTACCAGACTTCTGTCATCTTTAAGCTGCTGCCAGTCGCCGGCCTGGATATTTTACGTCTGACATGAACGAGCTGGTCGTACCGCCATACTACATACACAGATAGACTGACTCGATGGTCCAGTGATCGTAAACACGACTGGTGACAAAAAAATCAGCAGCCCAGAAGTTGGTGATGTTTCAGTTCCGTGCCTCGGAAAGCATGTATGATCTAATACGTCATATTATGTTTATGTTAATATGTTAGATACGCGTATTTAATATCTTTTCTGCGACTTTGTTGTAAAAGCGTAAAAATTCCTCATAAAAGAATTACTGACTCTTGGGGGACAAGTTAAGGTGCAATTACGTAGCCGACTGCAGACAGCAGCAGCAGGCAACTTGCCGCCACGACATGTCGCTGCGACATGTCGTGGCGTCATGTCGCTGCAGTCATGATTCCGAACCCGACTGCAGACGGCAGCAGCCCGAGTGTTCAGTGCGACATGGTTTATGACGTGTTTGAAATTAGCGATCGCGATTTGTTTTTGTATCTTTTGTTAGAAGAGGAAGATGATGATGATGACTTGCTTATATTAAGTATAAAGAGAAAAGACGAAAAGACACACGTCCTATGTTAAAATGTAGAGGAAGTGAGGGAACGTACAGTGCGGGATACTGGGCCACCTGGTTTATCAGTTTCTCTTCCTCGGAATCGGTGAAACTCATTTTTTAAGAAAAATTCAACGTGTTGTCGCTCGGGCGTTGGCGGCACTACTGATCTGCGGTCGGGCTACAGTGTCGTCTGCCGCTAGGCAAACGACGTGTCGCTAGCTACGGAACGTATTTCATAGAACTACATAGTAACCAGTTGTGTCGCGACGACACGTCGCTTGCTGCTGCTGTCTGCAGTCGGCTACTGAAATGTACCTTAACTGATGTTGCTAGCTGGCTACCATAAATTAATGTATCTAGATTTATTTGTGACAGAAAATACGTTAGTACAAACCAGTCCAACCAAACAAAAGGATGATTCGCACTTTCTTTTTCTAGTTCGCAACATAACAAGCATAGACGCAGTGGCCTCCTGCCTACCCGCTCGTCGCTGGTGCACCATCTCCGACAATGAGCAAACGAAATGTCTCTGGCTCCGTTCTGCCGCCTATACCCTCGGAATCGAACCGACGATCTCCTGCCAACAGAGGACCAACACCTTCGAATGTCTGCAGGACATAAAGGACAATCGCGCCGATTTTATTGCAACCCCCTCCAACTATGGCTACATTTCCAGACAGTGAGTTATTTTTAACCAACGCATTTTTTCTCCTTCTTTTTTTACAAAAGAAGGAGAAATATACTAAGTAAGCTTATCCATGTTTTTTATTTATTTATTATCAAATATTTTTTTTATAAATTTCCTATGCGGCACAGCACATCCCACTATTGGGTACAGATCTCATTTCTGATAGGGTTTTAAAGCGAGCAAATGTCATGTGCACATAACTTCGAATATTTTGTTTATAACTTCTCAAACATGGAGATTTCCTTACAATGTTTCTTTCACCGCCGAGCACGTGATAAATCAGCTCTTATAAACTACGAATAACAATTTCCTCGGTGTCGGTGGGAATCAAACAGGTACTGTGAAACTTATAGCGAGCGCTACCTAAGCGAACACAGCTTGAATAGGAAAAAGAAAAATATGAGGAACTCAGAATTTCAAACAGTTGGCAGGAGCATCTTCCATAAGAGCCAGACTCGGATTAAGCCATTTATAGATATCATATAGATATTTTATTTATTTAAAAACTTACATGCAGCACCTTAAGCTAAAGGGTATATAGAGCGGACTTAATGCCATGTGGCATTACGTCCTGGTCCTGACTCTGCCAGTCAACCCTGGGTGCCAAGGACAATTGTTGGCAGGTGCAACCATTATACATAAATAAGTGCACATACACAATACATTTAAACATACACACATATAGCATAAAAATATGAACAATAATACATATTTTTTTTTTTTATATATATATATATATATATATATACATGCTTATAAACTTCGTAAATAAATATCCATATGAATGACATATTTAATATAATGTATGAATAATATATAATGAAATAAATATTCGAATATATAAGAAAGACAAGAATTAAGGAAAAATAATGTCAATTAGTAGTTGCCCTCAGGTAATGTTCTTGGAGAAGAACTTTGAAAACTCTTATTTGTGGCATTCTTTATATCATTGGGGAGGGTGTTCTAAAGTTGTATAGCTTGTATCGTAAAATAGATTTATAAATATCATACAGATTTGCTTTAGATTATCTTTCGATATTGCACACGGAAACCACAATAACATTTATATGTACAATGTACATATACCTAGATATTTATAATAAATAAGATATTATGTATTATCTTTTTTTTATACGATAGGGTGACAAAGGTGCACACAGTCTACCTGACGGTAAGTGGTTGCTGTGGCCCATAGACATCTACATCTATCCTCGTTTACGAATCAAAATGCAGATGCGTTGTCACAGTGGACCCTCTTACGGCCTTATTTAAATAAGGTACGTGAGGGTAATAGCTTCATCTTAAGATCCTCTTACCGTACCTCGTACCTTGAAAATGAATCGTAGTTTTGGAGGCGTGGCTTATTCCATTGTCGGTGAAGCTAACGGATGACTGAGGCAGTGTCAAAATTAAAGTGATGCAGTGACTTCATAATACGCTAATTATGAGATAGCTATACCGAGCTACACGCTCGGAAAAAAACTAAGTAAGCACCATACAACATTTTTTTAACAAAATTTCGTTATGGATTAAAAATGGTTTATGAGAACTTAGATATGAATATTTACTATGCCTTAAAAATAATTCCATGAACTTATTCGTAAAAATATTGTGGTGTCATGGAGAAATGTCACTAATTAGAGCCTGCTTTGCAATTTTTTCTATCGAGAAAATTACATGATATCGTGTTTTCCTTTCATGCAATTCAAGGCTATATAGTCAAAATCATATACCTAAATTTTGGTTTGTAATCTATAAAACTTAAAGAATATGTGAAATAAAAACAAACACCAAATTTTCGAGGTACCATACGCTTTGCCGCCCTATAAAAAAAACTAAGAGGAGGATAGAGATAAAAAGCCATAGTATACTATAACTAATAAAGAAAACAAAAGCAATCAAGCTTTGGCAATAATTAAGAACAATTCGAAAAATCAACTTAAAAAAACATAACTAAACTACACAAAATTAAAATCGACTAAAATATTTGATATAATTTCAAGTGTCAAAATGGCGTCAATATTAATTGGTTGACTGATGAAGAGCTATCGTATCACAGAGCCATCTATGCAAACAAGGCTATAGTTTTTGAGTTATAAGAAAGTGTCCATATTAACCGGATGACCATATTACTTTCACGTACTATATATTTTAAATAATATCTTATTAACACAGGAACTACAAACTGAGCGCTCTGAAGCTGGTACAGAACACTCGCAGCAATCCTGCCGCATTCTCTCGTGTTGCAGCACTCATCAAGGACTCTTCGCAAACCGAAATCTCAAGATTCGAAAATTTGAGAGGAAAGAAGGCGTGCTTCCCTGAATTCAGTGGCATCGGTAAATTCCAAAACATTTTTTTGTAATTAATATAAATATTCTAGCTGGCCCGGGAGACGTTGTTATAAGCTTTACGGTAGATGGCGCGATGAAATTAATTTCGAATATGTATTTGAAACTCGACCACAGTGCCTCCTATCCGGTCCAAATTACGTAATTTCCTTTTTTGACACTAAGCCAAGAAACGCCTTGAATATAGCATTACCTATCGGATCTTAGTATAGCCAGATGAGCAATCATTTTGATAAAACAAATATATTGTTCCAATATCTCCCAGACTTTGCAAAGCATAATTTAAATAAATTTTATTTCTTGATACTGGCAAAAGTTCAATCGCGCAAGTCCTTTATCAAAGAAAGAAAGATACCCTAACTCTGTCAAGTAGATCTGAACTTACACAATCACTAACAGGCACATCAACGATTGTATAAAGTTTAAGATATTAAAGTGGAAAATAGTTAAATAAAAGTAAAAAAAAATTCTAGTAAGCATACCAAAGATGTGTTGCCAGTTGCCACCCCTGAGGAGTGAGGACTGAGGTGAAATTCTTCTCATCGTTTAATATAATAGAATGGAATATTTTTATTCAATATAATAGATTACAAATAATGCTAATTGAACATTTAATGTATTTGACTGGTTCGGAAAAAAAACTCTAGCAGTGGCTTTTTCTGCAGTTATGCATATTTTGCTGGTTCTTCCCAGGGTAGAGGAACTATAAAAAAGCAACAAAATATATTATAGTAAACAACATGCGCCTCAGTTGAGCGGGGTCTTTGAAAATACTCTCGCTTCGCATACACCAAGAAGTTTGCACGTGCGACAACTGCCGAATTCGGACGATCGAATCAAACACTTGTAAAACAAAGAGAGCGCGTACACAAACACGACACGACAATAATCGTCCGGTAACGCACGAAAACGGCCGATCAACCGTCGAGTCCGAACTTATTGGGATTTCTCGGTTTCTCGCCCGACTGCCGGCCAAATAGAGTGTATTTATCGTAGACAGAGAAACCTATAGACAAATTGACGCCTTTTTTCGCTTTCGCACACGAAAAAGACAGATTTATGCATAAGTCTTGTATAGAAATGAGACAGAGCGGTGTGATTATTTGTCCCTTTCTCCGTGCCGGTTCTTTCGTTTAGCAAACTACACTTTGCTAAACAACTTTAACAGTTCGTAGCGATCTAAGAAGTTTACAAGTTGGTTTAAGTGAGAAAAAAGTGTTTTGTGAGCTTAAGATTGGTGAATATTGTTCTGTTCAGTTCTTAGAACAATTAAAATTTTTATCTAAATATGTTTAAAAGTCATAAAGATCATTGTATAACCTAAAACTACGTTATCGTTCTTTCTCATTTCAGGCCACGCTAATCATTAGCCTATAGGTTTTGTCTACGGTATTTATAGTTTTATTTAACCATTTTGTCTTAATTCTGTTGTTTCTGTCAGTGTTGTTATCTACCTAAACGGCTATGGATATTGAAAATATTAAAATAGAAAAGAATACCGGCAACGTCTAACGTAGGCAAAAGTGGTACACTGTTGCAGTGTAAGCACATGCACGTACGGGTAGTTCCGTCCGCCATCGGCTGACCAAATCGGTTTTTGTGTAAACGTACCGTTACTCCTGGCACAGTAGAAATAATGTAGCAGCTAGCAGCTCCGTACAGTCTCAAGTACGTAGCTCCTTGACCAACGAAGAAATAATAAAACTTCACAAAATTCGCAAATACAAATTTATTTTAATTTAATTTAATTTTTTATGGTCGAGTATTCTGAAATAAGTTATTTCTATACGTCTGAATATTGATTTCCGTTTGAAGTGTGTCTTTTAAACGGTTGAATCGATTTTGATTTAGTTTTTTTTCGTTTGAAAGTTGTCTTAATCGAGAATGCTCTTAGCAACGTATCAAGAAAATCTGTTTTTTTGCGGGGTTTTAAAATTTCTCATTTAAGTTATGTTGTTTAACTGATTTCGCCTTTTTGTTGTCTCTAGCGTACATGGCGTTCGTGAATACAGCACACGAGCGAGGTGTTATCAGTGCGTCCGAGTGCGACTACGCCCGCGCTGTGGGCGAATTCTTTAACGGAACCTGTGCGCCTGGCGCCCTCGACGCTTCTCACTCACTTACCAAGGCCTCTGTGGGTAGTTCATTCTTTTTTAATAAGATATGGCGACAAACAAACAGACAGTCCACCTGATGGTAAGTGGTTGCTGTGGCCCATAGAAATCTACATTTATCCTCGACTACGAATCAAAAAGCGGATGCGTTGTCTTCCGTGAGGACTAACATGGAATGCCTCGTTTCACGTAAAAAGGGTCTCCGGTTCTCTGCACTCACCATACAAAACACAGCAGCGTTAAGCTACTATTTGACGCTGGTATTCTGTGAGAGCGTGGTCCTTCCCCGGTCGAGCCGACCCATTCGTGCTACTACTATACAACTAATATAATAACTGCAGCATGGCTCTACCACGTGCATTCTGCTCTGTATCATAGATTATATCTAAATAACATAACATAAACACTCACGCCTATCACCCAGAGGTATAGGCAGAGACTTCCATTTGGCACGATCCTGACACACCTCTCTCGCCTCCTCCACATCCATATATCTACACATACATGCTCGTGGGTTAAGGGTACTCTTAATTAGGCCCATTTTCAATATATCGCCAATTTGGTGGATAAACTTTCGCCTAGGACGTCTCTTTACGAGTCTTCCGTTCACTTCTGCAACATAGATTTTCTTTGTCACTCTTTCCTAATTCATTATTTGTACATGACCAAACCACTGAAGCATTCCTTTCTTAATCCTCGTCACAATATCATCTTGCAGACCACACTCTTCTCTTATCACACAGTTTTGAACCCTGACATTCAGATTCAGCCCTAACATACTCCTCTCCTTAACGACCGTATTTTTACTGCGTTTATTCTACTCTCGTGCTTCTTCTGATTCTGAAATTTTTGAAGATTCTGTGCATTATGAGATTATATCTCTATTTATTTAATCTATTTCTAAAGAAATAAATATAAATATAATATATTATTTTATTCCATTTTAATTAAATGACGTACAGAACTATAGAAAATTGGAAGGAGAGTGTTCTGTTATACCCTGTATTTGTTAGGCTTAGTGCTGCACTGCCTCTTAATAATGTTGACTTGGCCTTAAGGGTCAGTAAGAATTGTAGTGGAGCAGTTCGGCCACTTCAGTCTGCTTCCATCTTCGAACCCACTCGGTTGTCTACAGACCCATGTTGGTTCCTAACCAGTTTATAATATTTAATCCATTTATATTTAATTAAATTTCAGCTTTTTAAATAAATCTTTTTTTAAACCTATCAGCCTGTCTCCGTATAACAGTTCGAAATATTTGAATAACGAGCAGTTTCCCGCTACTTCGTCAGCGTGGAATTTGTTACGATTGATTTTCGTGGGTTTTAATTATTTTGCACGGTACCCTAATAATTTTTCTAAAATAGAAAAAGCCCAAGTTACTTCTTATAACATCACATATGGCAGATACTGTGCCATTGATATAATTTACTAGAAATAAATATTGTTATTGCGTTGATAAATTCATTTTGTTTAGAACTAGATGTTCCCCGCGACTTCACCCGCGTGTAATTTAGGGTTTTAATTTTTTTGCGCGGAACCCTAATTTTTTTACTATAATAAAAGTAGCCTAAGTAACTCCTTACAACATCAGCTATCATGCCAGTGAAAGTCTCGTCAAAATAGGTCCTGCCGTTTCGGAGATTAGCCGGAACAAACAGACAGAGAAAATTTTAAGAATTGTTTTTTTGTTACAAATAGAGTGTACACTTTCATACGCATTACGGAAAAGTTGTTACTTTGACATTACAAATAGACGCTTCAATTTTATTTATTTGAATACATTTTCAGTATTTTAAATATTTTACTGGCATCATTCAATTTTTCCCAAAATACGCCCCCTGACGCCCAGGGTATTTCTCGATAGTATGGAGTGTAGAAGTAAGTAGTACCAACTCCCATAGTAGAATAGTTGAAAAAGTGGTCATCTGTAAGCAGTAAATAACAGCTCAAAAACTCTCCACAACAGCGCTGGAGTAGCTACTGGGATGAAATGAACTTAGCAGTTGTCGACGGTTTGAAGTGTGCTGCTAAACTGCTCAGTAGCTCTAAAATCTAAAATAATTTTATTTAGTAAATATAACCTCGAAAAAGTCCTCTATCCCACTAATATTTTTCGGCACGTTCTTTAAAATTTACCCCGTAGTTATAGTGGCGCCACCCTTATTTAACGGTTTTCTATGGACACTTTTTAATACACAGTCTGTACTCCTTATTTCTACGCTCCATACTCGATAGGAAAATAAATGAATAAATCAACTTTATTTTTTTTATTATTTTTATGATTGTATTACAGAGTTTCGACTCGACTACCCTCTGCTCTGTGTGCAAGCCCGCCGTCGCTGCAGCCAACTCGTCAGACTGTAAGTGCCTACATTATATAAATTGTAATATAAAACAAAAACAACATACAATTGTGTCTTTTTAACTTCGTACTTATTAACTTCCCGCTAAGAAAATTTAAAGTTTTCAAAAATAGGGAAGTTACTGGTTTCACACCGATTTACAAAAATCGAGTTTTCATCAGATCTCGACGTTTTGAGATCCCGGGAAGCTATTCTAAATAATTTCACGTGGACGTTCGTCCGGATGTACGTATGTATGTGTGTCTTGATCGATTGAGATGCGGTTTGCGGCATTCTAAAGATCTCAATGTGGAATAGATTTGATGATAATATGAACTGATTCGGACGAGTAGATTTTGAGAAATCTCAAAAATAAAAAATTTTAAAAACTGTGTTTTTGTAATAACTTTTAAACCGCTTTACCGATCGATTTCAAAAATTAATCAGCTCTTAACCTTAAAAAATGTTCTCGAATGCCGTTTTGAAAATAAAAATCGGTTCATTTGTTCGTGAGATATCGAAGGAGAAAGAATAAAAAAAAATGTTTTTTTTTTTACTTCACGATTTCGCAACATAATTTGGTAGCGCTTTGTATTTGAAATTAGCGGGAAGTTCCAGGGATGGCCTGTAAGGTAAACCAGTTTTTAAGCTATTGCATAGCTTCTATCGCGGGCCTTGAGCGCGGGGACCGAATCCAGAAATTCCGTAACGAAAAAAACCTCACGCTCCCCACTTCGACGGGCACGGAGGTGTGGCGTTGAAAGCCGTGCATCGTCTAACGTCATTTCAGTTCGGCAGACTTCGGCACTCGGCAGACTTCGGCACGGTGTTTGTGTGCGTGCGGCTAGACGTATGCGTGTACACTAGCTGCTAGTCAATGATAAAAATTCCTGAATAACCTACATGTATTGTAAGATATTAAAAATATTTAAAAAATTATTAACTTCTCATTTATTCAATAAGAGAAAAAAAATTGTTTTCTTATCGGTCACCACGCTCAAAAAGTGTAACTTGATTTAATATCAAAGACTTAACTGCATAAATAAAATAAATAAATAATTATAATTGCATAAGTTGATAAAAATGCTATGCAATAGCTTTACCGCGGCAGTCACCGAGTGCCACACGTATTTTTTTTAACTAACGATTAAGAAGATAATTTAGGTAGTGAATCACAAAAATTTGAACTTCGACTTCAGAAGCTACTCAATTACTTGAAAATTACTTTATACTTTTTAATTTATTGAAAGCCTACACGAATAGCGCCATCTTTAGAGTTATAACGATAACATTATATTATTAAGATTGTTTATTAAATTATATCTATAATAAATTCTGAATAGATCCTTTTGACAATGCTAAGCAATATTTAAAGCTAATGAGGAGAGAGCCAGGCCTAGTTTATAAATTTCAATCCCTATTTTTTAACCTGTGAAATATTCTCTTCAAGTTTAAATAGAATCAAGTTCCAAAAGTCATTTTCAATAAGAAAGATTCATTGAAATCGGCTCACAGCCCAAGAAGGTATAGTGTGACTTACAAAAAAACTATAGTCAGATTAAGGACCACGTCCTTTTCAACCGACTTCAAAAGGAGGAGGTACTCAATTCGACTGTATGTGGTATTTTTATGTGTATTCAAAACTTTTTTCGAGGTGAACCGATTTTGAATTTAAAAGCTGGTACTTCTCTTGTAGTCCCATATAAATTTGATTAATATCTGACCAGTAGTAGTTTTTGAGTTATTCTTAATAATGCGTATTTAATTGACTACTCATTGTATTTATATTGAATTCAGTTATACGAAACTTTTCAATTTTTTTTTTTTGGTAGTCGTCTCATTACGGAGGTAAAAACGGGGCATTTTTTAGGTTTTTGAAAAGTCATATTTACTTTTGTAATAATATTTGAAAAAAAGAAATGACAGGGGCATGCCTTTAATAGAATTAGATTTTTATAAACAAAAACGATTACTCTAGAGGCATTATCCAGGAAGAAAATGTGGGAATACATTTGTATGGAAAAAATGCAGCCCGTCCTACACTCTTTAAGAACAAAGCCCATTTTGTTTCAGTTACATGCGCTTGGGACTACTCGAACACTTACTTCGGCAACAACGGCTCACTTGCGTGCTTGGCTGATCCCGAGACCCACGTAGCTTTCGTTGAGATGCAAAACATTGATGGTAAGTACACAACCTTTTTAAGTTCGCGCTCCGCACCCTGCAAGTAGGCTGTTGCTAAAAAATCTGATAGATGGTAGACAAAATAAGCATCTGCATAAGATATGCCGTGATGCCGATGTAGAATTTCAGTGAAGTCAATGTTAAACTCTCTTTCCAGCTCTCTTCGTATCTCTCGGTCTCCAGCCCTCACAGTACCGAGCGCTTTGCCGAAACAACACCTTGGCGGTGAACACTGGCACAAATATCGACCAAGGCTGTTTACTAGCTTACGTAGTCGACTCGGAAGTGCTAAGCAGAAGGTATGATTTTTTTTCATTCAATAGATAAAAGTTTAAAAACTTACAGCTTATATACGTCCCACTGATAAATCAAAAAAATCAAGCTAAAACTGACACAGCCAAGTTATCATCGTAGGAGTTAAAAAAACGTTAAATTACAGCATATACGCCACACCATTACAGGATTTCTCCATTTCTGAGAGAGTTAGATACTTTAGTCTTGGACTTAAGGGGAAATATTAAAAATACTACTGGCTTAGCAAAATTCTCCGTTATGCCTAAAATATTGCAGCATTAATTTTGAAATAAATATATGGTGAAGTTGAGGATTAATGTTGTGTACTACGTTAGACGAAAACGCGATTCCGTAAAATTTTCTCGATAGAAAAATAATCCAGTTACCTCCAAACTTAACAATATACCGCTGTTATTCCTCAAATAATTTAAATTAGATCATGAAACTTTGCATACTAACTGAACTAACTATAAAGCAGGGCTTTATTTTTATTACCATTATTTTCTCTGTAAAAAGAATTTACCTAAACTGTCGGCATTTTGAAGCTTGTTTCCTGCCGCCCGGCAGTGTTGGGAAATGTACAATAATTATTGAATTCTTACAATAATTTGTTACACGAAACTAAATTGCACCATAAAACATAGCTTTCTCATTATTGTACACTTTTATACAATATTTTCCTATTTTTACACAATATAAGTTCAATACTAGAGCACGCAACTCTAAAATGTATGAACTAACGCATCACGTACTTATACCAAAATCTTCCTCATGGTAGCTGCTTCTGAAAAAAACGCTGGGACTTTTCCAATAAAGTGATGTCGGAAATGAGCTCATTAAATCCCAAGTTAGCTCTTGTGAGCGACCACAGACAGAATAAACCTTCCATCGTGCCGTTGGCTACAATATTGCCTAGAATAATTACTCATAATACTGCAACAGGCGATGGTAGTTTACTGCAATCCTTATATGACTAAGGTCGAAATCTCTACCTGACGACATAGCTCAAGAAAAAGAAGTCGACCTGTTTTGGTCTAAATTTGGATTGAAACAGTTTAAATAAATAAAAAATCTTTAGCAAAAAATACAATAATTCTACCCAAAATACAATATTTTCTAGCTTGGCAACACCATAATTTCGCACCAACTATTTCCCAACACTGCCGCCCGGTCACCCGGTCAGTCTCGATTCGGCCTTGAAGAGGGAAGCTGTGTCATTTACGATCAGAATACACATAACGCAACAGGACAACGTAAAATTAAAATGGGAAATAACCGTAATAAAAATAAGAAGCGACTGGGTTGGCGTAAAGAAACAGGCATAAATATGATAAACCTAACAAAATAAGTATCTAACAACCTACTTACCAGTATTAGTGGTTACAAATTTGTTGGTACATAGCATACGACGCGCGGGGAAGTGAGGGCGAAATTAAAATTTGAGCTGAGTTACTATAGCCCCTTAAGTTTACACGGTTTTTATTCACCAATGCTAACTTAGTTTTATTTGTTATAGAAATGATCCACTCCAGAATAGCCTTATCGTACTTCTGGACACACTAGACGAATACTTCGGCTACAACGCTGCGGCGGGTTCACTCATCAATTTAGAAATGTATTCTCCCTTCGATGGAAAAAGTGACTTACTGTTCAAGGACACAGCAATTGGTCTATCAGAGCCATCTAGCGATTCAGCTAATGAAGCTGCGAGGAACTATATTGAACTGTTTAAGCATTTAGATGCCTGCACTAGTTTAGCCCCACCAGCACCTGCAATGGCATCACGTAATTTCTACTCCCTTTTCACTCTGTTCATATTGACACTTTTAACACGTGTTGTAATCTATTAAGTTTTATTTATTTTTAAAACTGAACGTCATTTTTGGCGGGAAAATATTTTCTTTGTAGTAAAACTAGATAGCGCAACCACAAATAAGTTATATTCAAATAAAATGAGGTATGTATATGACACAAAATTTGTAAAGAGTCTTTCTTACGACTCGAAACGAGAAAATTTTTGTAAAAATATATTTTACAAAACCTATTATTAATACTAAAAAACACGATGTTCATTAATTATGACATAGGTACTGTAATTAAAAATGAGCGTATGTAGCGTACGTGGATGAGTTTGTAAAATCATTAATTAATTTCTATATGATAATTAATTTGATTATGCCACTTTTAGTAGTATCACCGAAGTTGATCGAAAGTTAAATTATTTTTTTATTTAAAAATAATCGTATATCAGTCATTTATTTGGCTAGAAAAAACGATAATGTCATTAACTGGTATACCCTTACAATTGCCAAAGGTATTTTCGTTTTAACAACTCGTAAAAAGTATTTCAATAAACATAAAGTATATTTTGTATTTTATTAGGTACATATAGAAGATACGTAGGTATAAGTACATTACTTTCATGTAATTCATTAATATGTCATAAAATGTGTGCCAATTTTTTAAGAATGTACCAGTGTGTATTTAAATTTGTTTTTACGATTTTCAAATAAAGATATTTTTTAAATATTTTTATTTCCTACACTCTCGGGTGCCTTTCGAGGATAGTATAATACATCCTCATACGACAGAAGAGTGAGTTTTTGTTATACCCAATATCTTAATTTTTTAAATTAAAATGAATTTGTGGCGTGCCAAGATATACATATGTATATTATAAGATATTTTAAAATATTTTATAACGAGCACTACTACACGCTGTGGAGAGAATGGTAGCACGTGCTATGGTGAAAATGGTGAAAGAAAACATCTGAAAAATAAAATAACATATTTAGAGGACATATATTATGTGAATTCTTTCACCAAGCATTTAGGATACAAGTGGTAAATTTAAAAAAATTTGTACAACCGACTTCAATACGACCGAATCAAGGTAGTTAGTAGGGCCACATTTGCACACATCTGCGACCAAATCAGCGCCGGCCTCCCCTTGGTAGCCACTCCTCGGGGGAGGACTTTGCCTCCCCACTTTCCTTATCAATGACTAAACACGGCCACTAAGCCCTCTAGCCTAACTTATTTATGTTAAACAAGTTTTATAAAATTCACGTTATTCTCAATAAGCAGTCAGTCTCAATTCTGTTCTGAGTATTTACTCGATCTCCATCGGTTTCACTAGTGTCACCTATCCTCCCGACATCGCAACACACTGACAACAAAATATGCCACGACGTCCTTAACCAGGACGTGGCATACCGTCACGATACTTGCTAGCGTTTTTCTGAACAATTGCAAGGTTATAAACTAGTAGCGCATATTTAACATGGAAAATTGAGACCTAGTGCTCATAGCAGTTCTTGCTTAGAAGAGAACATATTCAACAAGAGTAAACTCTGAGTGACTAATCTTTCAAACGGATTCGAAGGAAGGGACCGTACTTGCCTCAGCATCCCGGAGGCTCCCAAGTATCCCGAAAGTAGTCAAAGCATTCCGCAGGCTACTGGAATCCATAAGCTTACAATAGGGTTATTTTTGAAGCTACGATCCATCCTTTAACATCCGTTAAAAGTCCACTGCTGAACCCCCCCCCCCCCCACATCGAATGCCTCATAGGGGGAAATGTTTGCCACAGTTGCTATGCTCGTCTGGCAGTCTGCAGATTTTTATTTTTATTTGTAATCAGGGAGATGCGTATACCCATCTCCTGGTTCCAGTTTCCCTATGTCGCCTCTTGCCAACACTTACAAAATGCTAAGGGGATATTCTTAATCGCCATCTCATTATTAAACATTCTTGTAAATAAAAAAACCAATAAAGTTTGAAACAAATATTTATTTAATACAATATTTATAAAATATGCATCTTTATCCTAAGGCAATTAATAAGTTACATTAACGAAGTGCATATGTAAACAGTAAATAGGAAATACGATACACAACTCCCTCACGTTCCCCACACTCGCCCTCTCGATCCACTTAGAATAAAATAACGCTAAGTACATTCTTAACCTACACTTCAATTTACATCTTAAAGTACAGTATGATTCTAATTGTAACACCGAAAAACAAATTGCTGTTTCAAATTTAATATGCCGACTATACGCATCACTACAAACATAGTCATGTATGGTTCGCAAAACAGTCTTCAAATAACCAGGTGCCAAAGTTTCCATCCAACACAAGAGTACCTACAAGTCTAAAATATTGACCCAAAGCTTTCTCTGTAATATAAATAATATGTCAACATTGGATTTACATTTAAAAACTAAAAGGCACATTAATAATGATATTTAGACTCAAATGCATAAAAAAATAATTTCATGATTACCATTTTTTATTCTCTCATTTGATATCTCGTAAACTAATAACTCATTTATTTCATATTAGTTTAAAAAAAAAAACAATGCACTTGTTTTTAAAAATTTAGAAGTAGACAAGTTGGCTGGTGAGATGTTAGTCCAAAAGATAGGCATTCGTTTGCTTGCTGCATTTTCCCTCTAATCTGTTCTTGAGTAGATGTCAGAAAAATGTAATTACAAGAATACACTAAAATCATCCAGACATCTTAAGCCTACAAATGTAAGCTACAAAATGTATACATTTCTTATCATAAACGAAACTTAAATCTACCTGTGCCCCGCTGTGAGATGTTCATCAAATATTTCTTTAATAATAATGATCCACCAAGATAAACAACTTAAATGACCTATGTAATGTTGGTAAACATATTAACATACATACATACTGTTGCGCGCCATAATTAATGCCTGGTACTTGGCGAGTTACCACTAGCGCCATCTAATATCCAGTAGCAGAAATAGGAGTCAAGATCATTTTAGAAATTTCCATACTAGAACTTTCTACACCTAGTCAGTCGGGACTGGTACGTACTGGAACATTCTAAATGTTTCAGTAGAAGAGGCCCCGCCCCACAGAGGGTGTTAGTGTAGTGGTTTCACTTATAGAACGTAAATTCAACGAAAAATAACATTTTTTAGTGAAATCTCAATTTTTCCTTTATTCTTCAATTTTTGCCTGTCCTAAGCCAGGTTGAAAGTATGAAGCAAAAGTTACATCACAGGTTATGTGTACCTATTGTGTTTTTTGGATCGGTTACTCGGGTGGGTAATCCATGAATTTACGGACGGTGTTGGACAGAAACTTTTTTAAATTTTATGAAAAAAAAAAATAGCGTTTTTCTAAATTCATTGAATTTACGTTCTATAAGTGAAACTAAACCACTGATTTCAAGGATAACGGTGTTAACACAACACCCTGTATAAGACCGGTAAGGACCGTGACCGGGTCATTATTGAATTGGCTATTCAAGCGAATACTTCGAAACGATATAACTGCGAACTAAAGTGATCAGTAGTACAATTTAATAATTAAGTTTATTTAAATATAAATTCGGTAATTAACGTGTCAATTTTAGTAACTCAAACGGCAGTTTTTATTTTCACGAATCCTGAGCTCGTAACAGTACATACATAAACTCTCAAGCCTGTATTTATCGTATCCTGACATATCTTACTCGTTTCTTTCACATCCATACCCTCAATATACATATTTGTCAGTTAGTCGTACTGTTAATATTGCTTGTCACCAATATATCACTAATTTCGTCGATAAACTTCTGTCTAAAGTGTCCAACTGTGCCTTTCACTTCTGCAGCATAAATTTGTTTTGTCACTCTTTCTTCATTCATTCTTTCCATGTAATGACGCCACAACCAATCAATTCGGTCTTTTTTCATTCAAGAATTTAACATTTTTTTAAATTACTAAATAAATATTTAAATATAATTTAAATTAATTATTTTTACATTTATATATAAATTTGTAGCAAAAACAAAATTAATGCAACTTCTCTATTGAAATCATAAGTATTTCTTTAAATTAAGACCACTCAGATGTAACCAATGTATGTTGACCAAACGAAGTGTGTTACAACGAAAATAATGCAAAACTAATGTTTTAATATCGTAAAGAAATCTTTAACAAAACCATATTAGAAATTTAGTAAGAGAAAAGTGTCAAAGAAAAACGAAACTATAATTAAAACAAAAGAAGCATAAAGATAGTAAATGGGAGCAAGACTCACAAGAGATCGCAATGTCTTTGTATTTTTTGCCATTTAAAAATATGTTACCTCCACACTGTGATTTTCCCCTGTATTGTGGAGGCAGTTTACACACATAAATTGCACAAGGACAAACATCCAGTCTAAGAACAATTATAAACAGACCATACACACCTACATATATACGCTGAGAACTGCAGTTTTGAATCCCACAAATTCCATGTGGGATTCAAGCCTGCAGCCCTCAACGTATATACTTACTATGTATATATTATATATAACTCAATGCTAAGGTCATTGCCACAAAGAACAGTCAATTTTTTTGTACTTTGTTGTTGTTACTTTTTTCTACATTGTTACTAATTTAAATTAATTTTATAAGGTAATCCTCAATATAAGCAGAATAATGGATTCAAGTTGATGCCAATGACTTTGATTTCATTCTGTATTATATTAGGAAAACAAGTGTACGTTCTTACAAGGAGGCACCAACACATCCTAACATACCCATGGACGTTGTACATTTATAAGCTATACGCTTGGGCACAGTATAGGAGACAAATGAACAGTCACCGCCCATCCATATATACCTATGTATCAACAATTTGTCATTTCGCTGTTCACAAAATTTGCATCAGACCTATCCTAGAGTACAAACTTCAAGTCTGGAGCCCGTATTTTGTTTAACTCATAGTCTAATAAGATGGCAATCAGTCAGGACCATACAGACTTCCTAAGCAATGTAGTCACCCCCAAACCGAAGTCTTAGAACATACGGTCAACAATGCTTGATCTGGGTATATGTCCATGTGCAATTTACGTCTGTAAGTGAGTCATCAATGGCATCGATCGATTGATGTGTTAGCTTTAGATGATCGGTACTGGTCGATAAAATGTTATTTCATCAATGATCGACAATTAATAGATGTGGTTGTGGGCTCATTATCAGTATCTTTCAAAATGTATTCAGAAGAGGATGGCCAGTGGCCAGTACGCTCTTGCTTGTATTATTATAGAAACGTAAACGCAGAAAACTCCGGATGCGACCGTTTTTTAAGGTCAGAAATAGCATATTTCATCTAAACGACATTTTAAATAACGGTTGATTCTCGAAATGTCGAGCAGCTCAATCGATGTCGACAAATCCACTCTACCATCGATCAATTCTATCGTTCGATTAGTGTGGTAGAAACTATTCCAACATCGATCGATGCCGTCGATCGACGATTGGTGTGGTATAGACATGTGTCAACCATTCATTTCTCGTGACCAAATCATTCTCCATTTCGCCACGCGTACCGATACATTCAAATGGATCATTTTGGGCTCCAGTACCCTACAATAAAAACAATTCGTTCAGATCATTCAGGATTCGGTCGATATTCGACTCATTCACAATTCACACCATCATTCAAATGGATCATTTTGGGCTCCAGTACCCTACAATAAAAACAATTCGTTCAGATCATTCAGGATTCGGTCGATATTCGACTCATTCACAATTCACACCAATCACAGGTTAAAAAGATTCCATCAACTGTGTGTGATTGGTTGTACCGGAACATTCAAAAACAGATGAATGAACCATCAATACTTTTAAGTGTACCAGCTCAACCGAACAAATCATTCATGATTGACACATGTCTAGTGTGGTAACACCCTAAACCACCTTCATGGTATACTAGAAATTCCTACATGAGATTATCTACACTCTACACTAACGTTATACAAGATTGAGTTCTTTTTGTCTGTAGTGGTTGCGTAAGCAAATCAGTCAAAATATTTCGTCCCGTGAATATTGTAAGAGGTGACTATGAGATGTCAAAAATATCTAATGGCCTGTGACAGTTGGCGGCGTAATCATATTGTTAACGCCAGCCGTAAAATACCCAAACCGGCGACAGCGGCAGCGTCAAATGTGCTCAAGTTTCCCTTCCAATGGGATTGGAAGTGGACATGGGTAACACTGCACTGCAACGCGCAATTGCGCGCTAACTCAGTTCACTGTGCCGATGTGTTAAGAGGATTGTGAAGTGCCGATACGCGGCGCGAGTACGTATTGTCTGCAGGTTCTTCCTTTTTAGTAATTTAAAAAAAAAACGCTGGAGAAAGTTGTTAAGTCAAATATATAGATATTTAGATGCTAATAACTTATATCATATGCAATATTTTCATGAAATAAAAACATACAAATCTAGTTTTTCATTATATCTCCAACATTTCCAAATATTATGAAAATTAGACTATGTTTACGAGAGGTAAAACGTTATCGTTTTTTGTATGATAAAATTAACAGCTTCACAATCCTCTTAACACACTTCTTCAATATGGCGTACAGCGCAGGATCGGAAAACTCAAAAGGAGTTAATATGTTGTTATATAATATTATTTTTGTAAACTTAAACTCCATGATAAGTAAATGAATGGAATGATACATATAGTACCTTATATGTAGGTAATCTTTCTTTTCAATATTTTATTTTACTTACTGGCTACATGGTCTTGTTTTGACAGATGACTGAGTTGACAGATATGTTTAAAGTTTGTAGCGCAAGTTTGAGTTACTGAGTTAACACAAGGAATTTCGCTGAGTTACCCATGTTTAATAGGGAGTGGTTCATGTCCAATAGTGGGCTATATAGGCTGATGATTATGACAGTTGCAGAAGATGACTAAAATAGAGGGATGTTTTAAAACAACACTTCTTGATGTTTTAACCAATGAGTGTGGCTCAATTTAAAATACTTTTTTCTCTTCGCACTTATGCTGGGGCCACACTAACGAGAAATGCCGTTTATTATCGCATTGATGGACGTTGAATGTAGGTGTGACAATGGTATTAACAATGCCGTTTGCCGTGGGATAACTCGTGTGGCGATACATTAAAGAGATTAACGCACGAAATAACGAGTTGAAACTCCCACACTACGTTTGTCTCATTGTGCGCGGTCAGCGCAGCGAAGTCGCATGTATGGCTATGATAGGGCGGAATAATGAAAAAATTAATACGTTTCTTGAGATTCTGCAAACAGAGCCATGTTAGAGGAATCCGAGACTAAAGTTTTAAGAATCATCCATCGCAAAATGATGCTCTGCGACTAATTATGCAATTATTACCTTTTAAAATAACTATTGAAGAAATTAAAAAGAAGAAGGAAAGCCTAATGGGTTTTTATCAAACCCATTTAAACAAATATAAAAAGTCTTCAAGGAACATTAACGCCAACTTTAACGCTATTCAATGACATTGAAATTGAAATGACGTTGACCATTGAAATGTAGCCTCACTTATCGCATTAAATTTAAAGCAATAATTGTTGCGTTTATGGGCATTGATGTTTCCCTTTCCAGCATTAGAAAAAGTTTTATTGTTTGTAAGTAATTAAAAATAATTTGTTTTTCTAATCTTTATACCGTTCCAATTTAATACAACACACACAAATTTGAAAATCCTAGAAGCACCTAAACAACAGCAAAGTTACAATTGTCCGTTAGATACACATACAACAGAACCTTACTGAAAATTGGAACAACTTTTTGAACCATATCAAAAAACTGGATTGATTTTGAATCTCTCTTGTCCATATATAATAATATTGCAATAAAACTATTAAATTAGTGATTTGTTGAAAACTCTCATATTCATTCATTTACCCACAACGGTCAACCTAATCTCCACTACTGAACATAGGGATGCCTAGATAGCCTCATAGCTATTTACCTTAGCTGCTACACTTGGTAGGTTATTGCTTGCACGCTGCCCATTTCCTGTTGCAGTTACCATCTGCTGCCTCTTACGACAGCCACGGGTTGCTACGGAACATTATCTTACGCCATCTCTAGAAATCTCTTACATACTTAACTTTTATATAAACATCGTACAAAATCCGCATACTCTAATGATATAAGTCTGATTCACTAAAATTCTTCATAATCCACTTTTAACTTCATTGCTACACACAATATGCACAGCAAGTTACTCGTTTTGTGAACTTACACTACACAGTCACTTAAACACTGTCTGCCTTGGTGGCCAGTTTCCTCACTAATGTAGTGTATGATGAGGGGTGAGAACTGCCCCTCCTGGAGGAAGGACCGAGGTTATAACAGGGGCGGCGCCCCCCACTCCACCGACGCCGCCAACGCCCCCACCGCAGAATATCACCTGCAAAAAAATTACATATTATGGAAGTTTATTAAAAAATAATCGAATACAATCTCAATCAAATACGATCATACAGCCCACCAAAAGTTCACTGTTGAATATATCACTCCCCATAAGTTGCCACAAAGTACGGTCCTGAACTACTTCCATCCATTTTTTTTATTATGTGCGAGCAGCTATGCAGGTCTAGGGAAAGAGACCAGTATCACTGCGAACTAGAAGATCTGTTGTGATCGCTGCTATGGCTAGTAGTCCACGGCCAAGCCCTATGTCTTCAATAAATAGAAAGAGTTGCTTAGCCATGAGCAATTTCACTTCTTCTGGGCGGAGTACATAGTTTCCCAGATGAGCGTTACGTTTGCTCATTAAGGGGTCCGGGGTACTTCCATCCATCCACTAGCTTCGTTTTTCATCAAGTTGCCACTCTCAACTAGAGGAGAGAACATATGTGGTAGAGCCACGCTGCAGCATGAACAGGTCGGTTCGACTGAGGAAGGACCATGCTCTCACAGAATACCAGTGTGAAATAGCAGCTTAATGCTGCTGTGTTTCGCATGGTGAGTGTAGAGAACTGAGGACCCATTTTACTGGAATTGAGGAATTCCATCTTAGTCCTCAGGGGTGACAATGCATCTGCATTTTGATTTGTAATCGAGGATAGATGTAGATCTCTATACGCCACAACATCCACTTACCATCAGGTGGACTGTGTGCTCGTTTATAACCATAATTCTATAAAAAAAGGAAGGTCGCCAAGACATTGAGTTTTCTAGTAAAAAAAAACTCGAGAACTTTCCTACCTCAACAGTTGTTGGTTTTTTGAACTATATGGTTGACCCATTGCAACTACAGCTTACTAATCTGCTAAGACAGCGAGACCAGACCAAGCTCACCTGTGAAACTGGAGTCGCTGGTTGCCCAGGCGCCGCGAGTACGTATTGTTGCTGTCTCACGCCACCGACCTGGAAAAGGTAATATGCATTTAAACATTAATAATAATGCGATGACGCTGAGAACTGAGGTCAAGTAACTTATACATTCTGCTATTACACTATCTCGTTAAAAACTGTCAGGACTACTCACAGTATGTATTTGCTGAGGCTGAGCTTGAATGGTTTGCCGATGCTGGCCATCCTCCACCACCACTTGCTCCATGAAAGTGCCAGTGCTAGCTGTACACAAAAAACAAGTACGTAAAGAAAATGAAAATATGTTCAAATAATGAAACTATAAACGGTTCCTTAAATATCATTAATAATGAGACACAGATCATCATTCATCTTTTATTTTCAAAAATTACAAAAGTAAAAAGTCACCAACTTTATATGTGGTTGAGCCATGATGCAGTTATATTAGTAGTATAGTTGCAGCACGAATGTGTCAGCTCGACCGGGGAAGGACCACGCTCTCACAGAATACCAGCGTCAAATAGTAGCTTAATGCTGCTGTGTTTCGTATGATGAGTGTAGAGAACCGGAGAACCTTTTTACTGAAAACGAGGCATTCCATCTTAGTCCTCACGGGTGACAACGCATCTGCATTTTGATTTGTAGTCGAGGATAGATTTAGATGTCTATGGGCCACAGCAACCACTTACCATCAGGTGGACTGTGTCCTCATTTGTTACCCTATCCTATAAAAAAAAATACAACCCGGTTGAGCTAAGTTTGCACCTGACTGCAATGCGAGACCCTCCGTTTCTCCGCCGTTCAACCCCCCGTTCATACAGTCGCGACAGTACGGTTGGCATCTTTGTTACCAGTATGCACATCTTAACTTTCGTATCCTATTTGTTTAGTTTTTGGTGTTTTTTGTTGTTACGTCATCCGCACCAAGTGCAAACTTAACTCGACCGAGTTGTGCAGACTAAGGCCATTCATATACCAAGGTTTGTACATTGGCAGATTATTACGACCTAGTGACAATATCAAAGGCAAAACAAATTGAAATTTTATCACAGAGTTCATATTGCTGTGAAACTATACGAACTTATGGCCACAGATATAGAGGTCTTTGCGGAGTTCGGCGTACAACAGATCTACTTGCTAAATTTGTTTTTTTTTTTTCAAAATACAAGTGGTAAAATAAAAAAAACTGACTTTCAATATAATAAAGTGAGAACATTATTAATGTAGTTGTAGTCAATTAAATACGCATTATTAAGGACAACTCAAAAACTACTGGTCAGATCTTGATCAAATTTGTGTAGGACCACATGAGATGCGCCATCTTTGAAATAAAAAAAGAATCATCAAAATCGCTTCACCTACAAAAAAGTTCTGAGGTAACACACACATTTAAAAAAACACAGTCGAATTGAGCCTTTTCCAAGTCGGTTAGAAACCTTTGCAGTACATAGTTCTCAGCGGGTTGTCATTTTACGTGGTAGAGGCATGGCATATATTGTGGCTGCAGCACGAATGGGTCGACTCAACCACGTACCACGCTCTCGCACAATACCAGCGTACAGTAGCAGCTTAATGCTACTGTGTTTCGTATGGTGGGTGTAGAGAACCGGATACCCTTTTTACTGGAAACAAAGCATTCTCATCTGTCCTCAGAGCTGGCAACACAACTCCATTTTGATTTTTAATTGAAGATAAATGTGGATGTCTATGGACAACAGGATCTGCTTACTTAGGTGGACTGTGAACTCGTTTGTCACCCTTCCTCTATTAAAAAAATGTGCTAATTCAGGTAACGCTATGTGAATACCATTAGACTATATCCACCACCTTTAGATGAGCAATTCTTGTTTATATATATACATCACAATATTGATTATACGTCCTTCCATTTCGCATTATTGTAGCGTCCACCACTTGTAGGCAATTTTTATACATTATGACTGCGAATATTGGTCCATTAAACAATTTCAAAGATAGTGTTTAACTCATTTCTTTGAAAATTTACCATATGTCGATATACAAATATTCGTATATTGCCAGACGGAGGGAAACCAATCAGGACTCCCTTCCATATTACAAATTATCCAGAATCCCCGTAATATACATAGTTTTTAATTAATTCTCCTGCTTAACACAATTCCTTTGTATGGTGCGACGTTGCCACTCTTATTAGTTATTCCGCTTTGTAATATTTTATTTATAATAGGTGATATTTTGTTTATGTAGGTATTCGATAGATTCCTATAGTCTGTTTTTTCACAGGAGACAAAAATAACAGATCTTTATTAGATTCATTTAGCATGAATAATACAGTTTTTATGATTCTGGTTCAGATTAGATTTAATTTTAGTCACTTAAGGTTCGCATATTGTTCAAAATAATGAAATAAATCCACAGAATGTGCAGTTACGAAAAATACGCAATATCATTTTTGTCTCCGGCGAAAAAAAAAACATAGATATCATGATTGAAAATGTGGAAAAAAAGTGGATGGGAGGAAGTGAGAGATACAAGTGTCGTGCCTTTTTTGCTTAAAATTTATTGTCTTATTAAGTGTTGTTGATTTACTATAGTAAATTTTTCTGTCTTGGTGGAGGTTTTAACATCTGAAAATTAGTAAGTGTTTGTAGTTGTGCCGTTTTTATGTAATTTTTTGTTTTAATATAATGGAGGACGAACCTCCCGATCCCGGAAGGGTTCGCAATGATTCCTTTCCTTACCCATTAATATTGATAATGTAGAACTAATTAATCGTAAATGTGCCCAAGTAAGTAACGAGTCTGCCCATCCACAAAAAATAGTTATTACTGATCCAAATCAACAGTTTCCTTCAATACAATCCTCATATACCCATCCAGATTTTATTAATAAAAAAGTTAAGTACTCTCAAGATGATGCCGCTTCAGTTGTCCGGAGTAACTCTTAAACCAATTAAATTCGGTCACTTTCTGTATCATAACAATATTAAAAATATAGTCCATGATGGAGTCAAAAAAGTTGAACGAAATAGAATATCAGTGGAGTTTAAATCAGCTGCAGATGCAAACAACTTTATCGATCACCCAGCTCTCCAAATTTCTAAATATGAAGCAACCATCCCCTCATATAGTATCACTCGTATGGGGCTAGTTAGACAAGTTCCCATAGAGTGGACACTAGAAGAATTAATAGCAGCTATAGAAATTCCCTCTGGCTACGGTTCTATAATTAAAGCACGGCGACTTAATAGACGATCAGTGAGTGACAGCAATAGCGTTTCATGGGTTCCAACTCAGACGGTTGTTCTAACTTTTTCTGGACAAAAACTTCCTCCCCATATTTACTGTTTTTACACCTCAATGCCAGTGGAAAAATATGTTTTGCCACTAATTCAGTGTCATAAATGTTGTAGATTTGGCCATGTTACTTCCCAGTGCCGATCATCCCCTCGCTGCTTTGTATGTGCACAAAATCATGAAGGTTTATCTTGTACTCGACAAACTCCTACTTGCCTATTCTGCTCTGGTCCCCACACCGCAAAAGACCCTACATGTCCTGAACATATAAGGCAAAAATCTATTAAACTTGTTATGTCACAAGAAAATATTTCATATTTAGAAGCTTCAGCTAGATTCCCTCAGACAAAAAGATCCTTTGCTGATACAACAAGAATCCAGCCTCGTAATTGTTCTCAACAGACCCCTTATACTATAACTGACAGTCTTTCAACCCCTTCGGCTCAGCTCTCACAAACTGCATCATATAAAAAAACAATTTTTATCTCTCAACGTACCTGCAGTCAATCATTAAATTCTGGATATGATATGGCAGCCCATCAGGCAATTGTTGAGAATCCTAATTCTTCCCTTCCTAATGGGTGTGCTCTACTGGGAAATGACAACAACTCCTCTAGTAATGATAATTTCTGGGAACTTATGATATCAATGCCAAATAACATGATCTCCCGTTTTAGTGACACGGAACTTCCTCTCAGCTTATACCAAAAACTTACTCAGCTTTCCTCCTTAGCCCGTAACATTCGCAGTCCCACCAATTCTTCAATGGAATTGTCGGAGCATTAGAAATAAAAAAATGAACTCACTTACCTCATTAATAAACTTCATCCCTTCATTCTTGCCATCCAGGAGACATGGCTTAGGCCTGAGTCTCATTTTAGGGTTTCAGGCTATGCATGCCTCCGGGATGATAGGAGTGATGGTCGTGCTGGCACCTCTATTTTAATTTCAAGAACAGTTACATTTTCACAAATTCCTCTCCCTTCTCATAGTCCAGCAGTAAATGCTGTTGCTATTAAGGCCCTTGATGTCTCTATTCTCTCTGTTTACATTCGTAATCCTGATGTAAATGTTTTAACAGAACTTGCAACACTTATTTCTTCTCTGTCACCTCCTATGGTTATTTTGGGAGATTTTAATATGCATCATACTGTTTGGGGCTCCCATCTGTGTGATTCACTGACTCCCTTATTTTTAGATCTTATTGATAATTTTAATCTCTGTATTCCAAATGACGGGTCTCCTACCCGTCGAGTATCCCCATTACAAAATGTTAGAAGTGCCATTGACCTAACTCTCTGTTCCCCAGATATTGCATCCCTTCTTTTGTGGCAAATATTACCTTCTAGCTATGGCAGTGACCATTTTTCTATATTCATCACTCCTCCTACTTCACCTAGAATAAATTTTACATTTTGCCCAAGACTAAAGTATAATCTATCCAAAGCTAATTGGCAATTATATTCTACAGTTTTGGAACAAGAGGTTTCAACTCTTCCCCCAATTAACAATGATAATATTGCTACTGTATATATAGAGTTCAGAAATGCAATTATTTCTGCTGCTAATAAGTCAATCCCCTTAAAAAAACCTTTCAAAAATAATTATCCTTCCCCTCCTTGGTGGGACCAAGATTGTTCAGCAGCTTGTAGGAGAAGAAAAGAAGCTGAATTAATATACTCCCGTTCTATGACTGCAGAGAATTATATCTCCTATAAAAAAAATTGCTGCAGAAACCTTAAAATTACTGTCAGACAAAAAGCGAACTGGTTGGTTTAAATTCTGTGAGTCACTGTCACCTAGGACTCCCCCATCTTTGGTCTGGAGAAATGTTAAAAAATATCGCTGTGCAGTTTCTAGTGAAAATATAATTTCTAATGATCCTTCCCCGTGGATAGATGAATTCTCTAATAAACTTGCACCACAAACAGTCCCACCTTATGATGAATGCCTAGTTTTTAATTCTGCTTTTTTAAAAACAAATGATAA